TATATATATATGTATATGTATATGTATATGTATACATATATATATATAACGTTCTTCGTAGTAAATACGAAAAATAAATACGATAAAAGATGCAACAGATTTTCATATATGGCTTGAATGCAGACATACAATTCGAAGTTCCCAATCTAATCAGGATTTAATCGTCCCATTCGTCGTCCTCGCTAGTATCACTAGTTGATTCGTCTTCGCTTTCACTGTGGATTGCACGAGATCGTTCAGCCAGAGCTCTGGATAATGCGTCAGCTAAACCACCACGTGGTGCGGGTGTCGTATTTGATTTCACTTCGTTCGGAACGGGTTTCAATTCGATACCCTCGCGTATCTGTCGTAGCAACTCTCCTCTTGAATTTTCAACCGTCGGTGGTTTCGTTTCCGTCTTATTAACTTTCTGTAATGTAGAAAATACATCGCTCAGATTGAAATACGCGTGCTATATGTACACATCTGTGTTCTTCTTTTACACTTTTTTAAGAAATTGAATGGTGTCCTACATACCCTTAAAGTTGTGCCGCTTCTGATAGATTCCATGAGCATTGGCCTGAGATCAGATATCGTTTCCTCGTTATTGTTATTAGTAGCATTCGTATTAATTGGCGTATTGTTGACACTACTTATATCCGGTAAAGGTGGCGGTGGCGGTGGCGCGGGAATACTCGAACTGGTTCTCGAGGGAGGAGCTGGTGGAGGCGGTGGCGGAGGTGGAGGTAAAGTCGGCGCTATAGTTACAATAGGTGGAGGAGGTCTCGACGGTAAGGTCTTGTGTGCTGACATTGTGTGTGGCATAGTGGAGGAAGCACTCGGAGATGCACTCGCAGGCACGCTAGGTGGCATGTTTAGTGATACAGAAGACACGCTATGACGATTTGGAGGCAAAGGTGGAGCACTGCGTGTTTGATGCTGTAATACAAATAGTTTTATTGATACACAATACTAATGTACTGTTGAGTATAACGTTAAAATATAAAACTTACAGGTATTGTTCGTGCGGGAATAGGTGGAGGATAATCCTGTTTTTGTGGCAATGGAAGCTCATTGTTAGTTCTCGTATTAGGTATTGGTTGAATGTCTTCTTGCACCGCGCTCATACCGCCGTTTCTTTCTATAAAGTCATAAATAAATTTTCGAGTGCCCTTATCTTGCAATTCGTACTCCGATACACCAGCATTATTAAAAAACTGTTGTAACTGAGAGTCTACAGAATCTAATTCCAGGCCTTTATTATTTACATCCCATCCTAAGTGCGCTACATGCCTGCAAAATAATTGGGAACAATATATATACATGTTCATAAATTTGTGATGAAAAAATGATGGAGGAAGTGAAGTTTTATTCGTACCTGAAATTAGAAGGAAGACCAATATCATCTTTAGTCAATTTGCGCTTAAGATCTTGTTCGTTCTTTTTCTTTTTAGTTTTATACATCGAACTGCTCGAAGCACTTCTATTAACCCCAACTGTGGTGGGCGCGCCATTCGATAAATTGGCCGATGAGCTCGATGTAATATTGCGAGGTGACGCAGCACTTTGATTTTTCCAAGAAAACGGACCACTAAGTTGTCCCTCTTTTGCTTTTCTTTCCTGCTTTCTCTGACGTTTTGCGTGTAATTTACCAAGAAGTATGTTTCTGTAAAAAAGACATTAAGAGTGTTCTGTTTAACAGATATGTATTTTAATTGATTGTCTATAGCAAAACATTTCTTGTTCATTTTCTTGACACATACCTTAGCGTGATGGCTTCAGTCTCGCTTGCAAAATTAAATGCTGCCATGCAATCCTCTGCTTCAAATGTATGAAAATATGACATCGGAGCTTTATAATCCATTGAATTATAAACTTCATGTTCCCACAACATCGCTTTCTTTTGCAAACAATACAATCGCAAAAAGAAACTACGTCTTGGATTGTCTCTTATTAGAGTAATAATACCTGTACTCTTCTTAATCCAATCTCGATGTAAAGGAGGTTCAGTCAAATATAATTGTATAATGCCAGCTGCCAAACACTAGAACAAACAAAAATAAATAATTATGTACTACAACAATCGCGTGTATACACGTAACATTCAAATCTTTTTCAAAACTATATATAACAAACAGATTTTTATTTGATTAAAATTACATGAGAAACATCTCAGATTAAAAAAACTTAAATGACAAAAAAATATAAATCCTTATCTTGCATTCACACGTGCGGTATCGTATTTTCACCAATGTATATTTTAGTTCTTATCAAATTAATGTTTCGCTACATCACCACATATCTACCACAAGTTGGATGATAATATCTGTGAGGCATGATGTAACTAAAAAAATGTGCGTTTCTATTTACGCATTTTTGAGTCATCGAAGCTCTGTCTCATGTGGTCGCAATTTTGCACGCACACGCACACACGCGCGCGTCGTTGTGCACACGCACAACGTGCTCGCGCACGCACACTAAACATATTCGCTAGTAAAATCTAACATCTAGAAATACGTTCGAAAAAAAAATACGATACGTTCGAATGTTTATTTAAAATATACGAAATTGTGGAATTAAAACAAGAACCGACAGAACAAAGTAAACTCCGAAAATTGTGCCGAAAGCTGGTTGAACCAGTAGGTAGATCAATATCGAAGTATGTGCACGAGTCGACAATGTGACGTGGTCGCACAAAGTAGATAGCACTCACCTGGCATCGATTTCCTATCAGCTGGAACACTTGTTCATTTTCCTCCTGTTTTAGGAGTATCGCGCCCCTATGCTTGTCCGTATTACCCGACTTCATGTTACCGTCAAAAAAACAAGGTTAGAATTGGTCACCCGACGAGATATCGCCCCACAGCCTATGGCCGTTCCGCTCCTCGCATCTGACACGTTTTTGTTATTGTTGAGACAGCGACGCGCGTTAATTCATATCCCCGTGTGACCATGTGCACCGCGACAAGGACTCAATGTAAACGAAAACAAGGAAAAAAGGCACTTCCGAACGTATATCCTTCGCGAAAGGGACTTGCGATGCTGCTGCTTTCGGATGGATCCTCGCAATCGTCACACGCGTGCGCGGCAGCGCGGACGTAGCATCTGCCTCAGTAGCGTGCAATTTTACTGGTATTTCGGTATTTCAGAGTTTTTCCTAAATGGGGTACGTTCCAAAATCTTACCTTGATAACCGAAAACTATAGTACACGTGACGTAAAATATTAGCATTTTAGTAACCAAGGTAGGATTTTGGAACGTACCCCTGTTTGTAAAAAAAAAAATAAAAAAAAAATAAATAAATTTCCTTGCTGTTACGTAATATTCACGTTCCATTTGTTCGATTTACTAACTCAACCCGTTGCAAAATAATTGTTAGCAGCAATTTTGTTCTCGTAATTATCGCAAGATTGTTATATAAATACGGACAATAAATAACCGTAAAATAAAGTCCGTGGGTCCCGGATAAAGCACGGGTCTGTTCAGACCTGGACAGAAGATACAGGAGAGACTCTTATCGGAGTTTGAACGAACTACGATTTTACACTTCTTATCAAGCGAGTTATTTCGCTGCTCGTCTTATCTGAGGAAAGATTAAATTTAATCTGAAGTCCTCGGGGTTTTACTTCATTACACCGGAATGTAAATATCACATATGCACCCACACATCACACGGTGGCAATAATCTCTTAAACAATGGCACTGGTTTTACGTCTGTGCGCGCTCAATCAAAAACAATGTTTTTTGGGCAGTTTAACCTATGTTGCGCCTAATTGTTACACTCCTAAGGTTAGAACAAAATGTGACACTTTGTGAAAATACACCGATACAGATGGAAAATTGTGGTTTTTTTTTTTTTTTATCAACAGCAATTCGTAATTTTCTAGAGGTTTCCCGTAGTGCGCGACGCAAGATATTTCTCAGCCAAAGAATCCGACAAAGCACCTTCGGAAAACATTGAAATTTATTATGGAACCTTAACGAAACAGATCAGAACTCTCAAAGCTTTTTCTCTGATGACATCCGCTTTTGGCTTGTTAGCCCAGCCTGCGTTTTATTTAAAAGTTATGGAGACTGGCAATACAGGATTCTTTTTAGGCATATTTGGATGTGTAGGATTAATGGCTGTGGGTACTCCTTTGTTAATACATATGATAACAAAGAAATACGTAACGTACTTGTATTACGACGAAAAAGAAGACAAATACACCGCGCACACTTATAGTTTATTTCTTCGTACAAAAAAGGTATGTTTATTAATATTTCAAATGGATTCAATTGTTTTGTTTATGAATGTCAGTTTTTAGCAAGAACACTTATGTGTTTCAGCTCACATTTAGTCCGGGTGATGTAAGAGTACCGGATGTAACTGGGATGTTTGCAAATTGCATTGTAAAAAATACTCCTCTATTCTTAGAGCAAAGATTTTTTCGGGATTCTAGTCATTACATCAAAATAATGGGATATGACAAACCAATAGATTTTAAATTAGGTAATAACAACAATGAGACAGTTGCGGTAAATACCGAATATAAAGATGACAGTAGTAAAAAGTAATTAAAAAAGTTTGTAACTACAACGTGCGAGAGTACAACTTTATTTATTTCCTTGGACTTTCTTAGTTTAGCCTCACAAGGTTTTTGGAATAAAACGATTTATAAAGGAAAAAAATGGTGATTATAGGTAAGTACAAAAAAAATTATTGTTTTTAAAGATATCTCTTCCCCTCTTCACGAGCAGTACATTTATACTTCATTAATCAAAACGCTTGACATTATATTTATATACGAAAAGTTTACACATTTTGATTATTTTGTTTATCAACGACGTTTAATAAATAAGTCGTAAAATAGTACGCATGCACTTTTTTTTGTTGTTCAATTCTGGAAATATTTCTACACCGAAATGCAACGCTCATGTGCTGTACATATTAAATTGCCCGCACGAAACATGGCAGTATTGTAACTTACTGATTTATCATGTACTACGTCGCGTTATTAGCGATTTTAAATTGTTTATACAGTAATGTCTGAATATAAGCGAGTGCGATATCATATTTCATCGCTCGAAAATTCGAAGAATTCTGGTGTTTTAATTTAAAATTTTCATTCGCGCCTTTAACATTCATTGCTTTCACGAAAAACATGTTGGAACAATTCCATCATCAAGATAATACTGCGTTCTATAAAATTTATCATTAGTTCTGCTTTTTTCGCTGCACTTGTATCTTGTTTTCTTCGAAGCTTGAATATACAAAGTAGTTTTATTTTAAATGACCAAGACGAACATAGTGCAGAGAAAAAACCAGTTCTCTAATGTTGTGACCGAATCTAATGACACAAATTCAAGGCACATATTGATAAAACATTGTGTATTTTATTCATGTAAATCAAGAAATGTGTGAGTGTTCGTTTATTTCAACTATATAAGATAAAGAAATATTCTCCTAATTTTTTGGCACGTCGTGTGCCAAAATCTGGATGTCACTTATTGTCAAAAGGTAAATAACTGCAAGTACATGACTGTTGTCTATTTGATAAAATTTTCAATCTCGCTTTTTTTCTAATTTAGTCTCGGGTTTTTTTTTTTTTTTTTTTTTTTTTTATAATTCACGTTTCTCCGCGCGTATCTGTACATATGTCGTAATACGACATACGTTTGTCACTTGAAATTTTTTTTTTTTTGCAGTTCATTGTGTGTTGCTTTGAAAATGTTTGCTTATAACATACTTGGTAATGACATGATAACAGAGATGCGTATATATCGATAGAGATCACAGATTAAAGCCATTGTCCTCGAAGTTGTTCCAAAAGAAAACTAGGTGTAAGAAAACTTATACAAATACAAGATAGTGTACACTAAGCTGGTAACAAATCGAAATCATCTGAAACATGCACCATTGGAACATGAACATCTTCTATTTGAGGAGTTACTTTAGATTCACACAGTCCCACTTCCTTTAACTTCCACTCCCAGTGCATTCGTTGAACCGCGTGCAAAGAATCCGCTTCATTATGGTGTCTCAACAACATACCTTCCTGTAGAGATTTATTTTTCATGAGCAAAGAAATGAGCAAAAGTGAAGAGATTTATAAAGTGAGTTGAACCATTTATTAATTTTATTTAAGTAAAACAAAATTGTCTATCTTATCTTTACCTTGATCTTTTCCCACTTATCATCCACATCCTGAAGCCAACTTAAAAATAATCTGCCGTTATATCTACTTCTTGCGTTTCTATCTTTTTCTTCTTGTTCCGGTGTGATTACGTTATAAACCTCTTCGTCTTTGAGAATCGTACAAACGGAGAAGGGAAGAGATTGATTTGCGAGCGCTCTGGCCGCTCTACCATGAACTCTAAGAATCTCTTGTTCCACTGACAAAACCAATTTCTCTTTTTCAACAACATGTTGCATTCTCAGACGATATCGCTCCTTTTCTTGCTCAACGTACAGATCTTTCATAGCCGCGTGCAGACCAACCGGTGGATTGATATTCGGCTCGTGCTTCACATTGCCAGCTAACACATATGTACATCGATTCATCAAATAATCCTTAAAACCTTGAGGAGGTTTCGGTTGTACCGGAAATAAACCCTTTCGTCTTCTCTCGATCTGTAAAAGATCATTAGAAATTCTTCATCCACATACACAAATACATTAATTATTCAAAGTTTTTATTTTTTGATCGTGTGGTTTAAAAAAAAAAATTCGCGAGTTTTTCATAAATTACCTGTTTTCTAATATTTAGAAATAGCTGATAACAATTGGTAATTGGTTGATCGTGCGGATGAATTTCTGGTCCCGTACTAGTAGCTTCAGCCGCGTCGTTAGCGGCTGTAGCAGCCTGTTGTGCCTCTTTATTAGGTTTCATCTTTCTTTTTCTGGGATGAAGCTCGACAGGTGGTGCCGGTGTGTTGGTGTTCGATATCGCAGAGGATGTCACTGACGACACATTCTCTGTGGTTTCCGCATTACTATCCTTTTGATTCTTTCCGGTGGACTCCATATTTTTTTCCGACTTTTCCACAGTTGCGCTGGATTTCGAGGCGGTCCCCGTATTTGCGGATTCCGACGAACTAGTCTTACTAGCGTCGGATCCGGCTGTCTCGGGCGTCGGTGAGTGATGTCTTTGTAATGGTGAGGAATTATTCGATCGATCCATAGAAGCGTTAGCTGGCAAGGGCGACGAATTGGAATAACTTCCATTACCCGACGAAGGTGTACTTTCTTTTTGCACCGTGGAACCGTTATTGCCATTTCCGGTTCTGTAATAACACAATAATAAGAATCGTATAATCGACAGATTTTCACGTGTTTAGATTTGTTTCTCACCTGTGTGAACTTCTCAATACTCGTTGATGATGAGTCGACCTTTCCTCCCCGTGCAAAATCGCACCAAAATCTTTTTTATCCTCCCCTTTTGTACTAGTGCCACCTTCCGTAGGACTGGTTGTACCGCTGGCCGATTGACTTTGATCTTTCTCTAACGAATCATTGCTGTTCGAGCTCGCAACTACGTAGGGCAACTGATGACTTCTATTTGTAATATTTTTACCGTTTCTATTGCCTTGCTCTTGTTCCGATGCCGTACTCTGCGGAATAACTATTTTCAAGGGTGGTACTTTGGGAGCGGAATTAGAATCGGAGCATTTCAGTCGGTCTTCCTCGCTGTCGGATTCCAATGGCGCTGGGGTGGCGGTTTTCGTGTTTGTCGAACTGGGAGTATTCGAAGGTTTTGGACTACTGGCCATAGAAGAGGTGCTGGGACTCTTCCTGTCCGCACTGACGGAAGTTGCATTTTGATTCCCTTTCCCGGACGTTGTTCCAGATCCTTGTTTACCCGACTTAGCACACTGTAAACAAATTTGCACATCATAAAATACATCGTCACAAGAAGCTCTCTCATGCACAATCAAAAGTCTTTATGATTCTTACTTTTTCTCCACTACTAGCGGCGTTTCTACTGGTATTTTGCCGTCCCGTTGTGTTAGTTTTTGTATTCTCTTTCGGGGTTTCGGTGTCTTTTCGTTTCTTCCGACGATTTTCATCGTCCTGCTCCTCCGTATTGTCACCGCCCTCGAAAGTACGTTTCGACGATGGCGACGTTGTGGCGGCTGAAGCTTCATCGGAAGTCAATGGTGCCGTCGTCGCTTCACTGGACGATGTTGACGAACCGCCGGTAGTGGCCGCATTATTGCCACCTCCCTGACTACCTTGGCCAGCTGAAGGTTTGCCGCCACTATCTTTGTCTTTATCCGGATTAGGATTAGGAGATGTGCTTGCGCCTCTCACCGGCGTTGGCTCTTTCGAGCTTTTGAATTCGTACACATCACCGCTATCACTAGAGGACGTGTTGCCCGACGTGCCAGTGTTCGAAGCGGCATTTGTGCTTCCCGATGACGCATTGCCCGACGTCTTCGACGAAGTTTCCATTGAACTTTGACCCTGCGTGTGTGTTTTCTCCATTAAAATTGATATATCGAGACAATTTAAATATTTTGCCAAAACGATTTATATTAAAATCTAAAACTAAATTAAAATTATGGATCGTTCTTTATTTAAATGTTTTTAACATATTTCTCTAAAATCCGGTCCAGTTCAAACGCCAATTTTTTTTATGATAGTGCGTACTTGTGCGCTTATGCCGCCTTGACGGGAGTTCGAAGCGCCCGTCCCTTTCTTCTCATCCCTTGTTCCTCGCACCTGGTTGAGCCGGAGCGTCACCCTCGGCGAGCTTCCAGACTGCCCAGTACCCGATCTGTCAACTGTGCAAAAAAGGAAATAAAAAAAAACGTCATTTAATTGAAAAACAATGAAATTGTAAGAAATCAGATTTCACGGAAACTGCGCATCTGCATTATTTGGTATAGTAAAAATAAGCTTAAGAAGAAAAATTAACATTTATTAATTTGATACAGCCACTTCGGCTTAATTGAATAAAAACATTTAAATTTAGTGCTTGCTAATTTGTCGCTCCGTCAACGATTTGCGCAAGATTACCAGAGCAACAAGATCGAAAATAGAACAACAAAATGGCACTACATTTTTTATGTTACATTCGATTGCGTATACAAAGTGCGACTGTGCCAGTTTAATAATAAATGTGGCGAAACGGAAGAAAAAGACGCAAAGAAAAGAAAGAGAAACAGAAAAATCAAGAGAAGATTTCACACAGTCATAATTCATCCCAAGTAATGCTGTTAATCAAGAGATGTTTCGAGAAAAAGATGGAAGTTTCCTTCAATCCTATTACTTTTTATTAGTCTTCTTGACCGATCGCATTAAGATAATAATACACACGCAAATTAACGTACAGGAAAAACAACTTTTTATAGAGTTCCACAATTATTTGTTTCTAGATAGTTGGCACACATTTTTAACATCACACACACACACACACACACACACAGTTTTTTGTATAGAATATTTAAATCAGTCCGTCTGAACTACTTCAGCGAGTCTCACTGACTTTTCACGCACAACAACGGGATGTAATATTTCATTGAGTGAGGTTTACAAAAAAGAGACACAAATCAAAAACTAGACTCTGAAGTCAGTCATTGTGGAAGAGAGATTTATTGGTTTCTACTATTTTGTAACAATTCTGTGATAAGTGTTCGGCGCGATGACAAGAATGAAACACCAAGAAAAACTTGATCCTTGACTCTAATGACGCAACATAGCGTTATCGCTGCACGCTTATAATTGATCTGTTGATATAGTCGACTTAATTCAAGTCTCACCCAAGTTTTATCACAAGACTCGGAAGCGTTTCAACCGCTTTTAATGCTCGCGCATTTACATATTGATGTGTTGTCACAGAAAACAAATACATACATACAGTTACACATATATGTGATATTCATTTAAAATTATTATTTTGCTTGGAAGCTCTCGCTTTATTACCATTAACGCGAGAACAAAAAAAAAGAAAAAAAAAGAAAAGAAAAGAAAAGAAAAAAAAAAAGAAAACCGGATTTCTCAAGCGGAGTTGCAGGCAAAAAAAAAAAAAGAATTTCTAAAACGAAGGAAATGCCGAGGTCACTTTTCTAAAGACGAGGATACTTTCCTAAAAAAACGATCAACTATTCAAACAGATTAGTTACAGTTGATGTATTAAAGTTTGCGCACATGTAAAAATGCGTAGCGTTACGTGTCTTTTTTTTTTCCCACAGCGTTCACACAAAACTCACACACGCATGCAACAAAGCCGAAAGATATTAGCGACATTCAAACAAAGATACGTGCCGCGATAATGCTATTTTCGATAACGCTATTTTATCAATGTAAAAAAAAAAAATATCGCGTCGTTGCACGATATGTTGTACCAGTAATCTAATCTGTTACAGTTACACAACGCACACTTGTATATTATTAGAAATGTAAACAAATGTTTTATACTTGCGTGTGTTTAAGTCTCAAGCAATCTCATAAGATTGAACACGTAATTTTACAAATAACAATTAATCAAAGTAGTTTTTTTTTTTTTTTTAATATTCAAATCTGAACTTACCAGTAAGAAATGCAATCTCGAGGACCGCAAATCTTATCCGCTCGCTAGATCATCGAGTGCGTTCGATTCGAATGTGATTTCGCGAGCGACCGCACAATTTTGGACCGCAATTTGTCACGAACGTCAATAAAAAAAAATTGCAATGTGATATCCGATTGCGACTAATGAGTGTAAAAAATATGTGTGCGAGGTATGTGTCGAATGATTAATCAATAATGCGTGTAATTGCATACCGAAGATCGATCGTCGCTTCCCGATACGCGCGCGCGCGCGCACACACACACACACACACACACGATTGGCGGGACTACTTAAGTACAAAAGACGCGCCGTTGGAAACCTTCTGCTGATCGGTGCGTCGATTGATGCGTCGCGCTCCGCTATTCCTGAGTTAGACCCCTTTCGGAGGTGCGATCACCCTACTGGTGTCGATGGACGCAGCCAGTGAACGCAAACGTGTCCCACGTACTTGCCAGTCAGCATTCTCCCTCTCTGGTGAAGTTCTTCCTCCCTCTCCTTTTTCCTCTGTTCCTTCTTGGCCGACTCGTTCTCTCTCTTCCTCTTCTCCTACTCGATGCCACTGCTCTTTTCTCTTATCCTATTCGCTTCTTTTGTGTTATCTCACTGTCACTCTCACTTTTACACGCGCGCACACGCAAACACACACGCACGCTTTCTCTTCCCAATCAAGAGAAATAGAAAATGAGTGTTCTCTTTTCAAATGAGTTTACTCTCGGTTTTTTTTTTTTTTACAAACCTACGTTTTAATCGCGGCGTGCGTCGATATAACGACGACGATCGTGAAGGAGATAAGACACGCGCCGAAGCCACGTGGTCGGTCGATTTTATCGCGGAGATGATTCGCGTTCAAGAGAGAAGAAACGCTCCGCTATCAAAATACAAACCCGCTTTGTTTCCACGGTTGCATTGATAGGTTGCACATTACAATCGGCCGTCGTGGTGAACACGACTCGAACACTGCGTGACTAACTGTATAACTGTGCAACGAGGGCGGGTACGCGGTGAAGAGGAAGCGGACTGGCCTCTCGTTCACGCGCGCCTCGCCAGGCGAGACTGTATATCGTGTCTCGTCCCCGTCTTCGGAGTCGCGCTCGCATGGAGCGGTATTATCCACGTAACGCGATGTGACGCATCGCGTCACTATCTGAGAATGTCATCTTTAATTAAACACTACTCCTCTTTCTGTGTACGTTATCGTTATCCGAGTCGGTGCGAGGTTGATTGCTCGTTTCCACCGTAGAAGCTGACGATGATGTAAATTTGTTTGACGCTATCGTGTCGCTCGAAAAATTTGTGCTTGGCGCAGGCTAAATCTCCTCCCGATGACCTTGACCTTCTCGCATCGTCGTCAAGGTCAAGTAATTCTCTTAATAAAAGAACTGAAATTTGTAAAAACTGAAACGGTATATACGATTGACAAGTTTCTTTTTAAAACCGCAAGCGGAGATTCGTTTATTTTTACGTGTGATAAAAATACAATCCCGATAAATCAAGGAAAACCGGACTTTCCATGCGAAGCGAGGTGTCCTATATACATTGCCCCCGTGCTTGGTTTGCATGCGAAATAAGTTTGTAATTATTGAAAGTCTTTGCATAAATTATAGACTCTTTTGCATCCGAGGCACGAGACAATGCGCGATAAAAGAATCGTTTTGCAAGCAAAACGCAAAAGCAAACGCCGAACGTAATCGGTTCAGCGAAACTTCGGTAGAAATTACGAATACTTCATATCGAGTCCCCCGAAACGCGAAACTCATTTATCTTCGTTTTGTTTAATATAAATTTTAATGCGAGGAGTGAGAAATAGCTGAAAATCTTCCTTTTTATCTGCGGAATGTGTTACGACGAAGAGTTACGAAGGTTACATAAACAGTTCTATTGATAAACCACTCTGCATAAACGCTCAAATGCATCCGCGACAAGAAATTCCTCTTGCGTAGTTATAAATTCTTTTTCATCTCCGTTTAATTACTTTAATAAGCAAAAAGTGGCGACTGTAAAAAACAAAAAAATCATTTACATATTGCGGAGACACGAGAGTTACATAAGGTAACATTTTATTAATAAAACAACTCGGCACAAACGCACTCGATAAAAAAAATTCTCTTTGCAGAGTGTGTGGTCATTAAAAATTGGTTTTTTATCCTGCGTTTTTTTTTTTTTTTTTTAGATTGCATTTCACGTTGCATTTGTACTGTAATCTGTTTTCTTAATTACCAACCTGTGAGTATACACAATACTTATCTTGTTCGATTGCAAAAGCAGGCGGAGCTCTGAACATAAAAAAAGATATAAATGTTCGGAGAGGAGAAAAAGGAGAGAGGCTCTCACCTTTATTTTGCGGTGGTGTTCTCCGCATTTCACAGGGGGCTCCACTGTTCTCAGCAACGTGCGATGCAACGGCTGCGACACTTCCTGCTGCGCGTTGCTGCTGTTGCTGTTGGGACTGCGTGTTATTATGTTGTTGGTAGATCTGTTGTTGTTGTTGTTGTTGTTGTTGTTGTTGTTGCTGCTGCTGCTGCTGTTGCTGTTGCTCCTGTTCGCTCGACGGCGGCGCTGTAGCTCCGCCCCTTTCAGCAGGAGAACACGGATTGTCAGGACCGGCTGTTACACTCTCGTCGGATGAACCAGCAGCGCCTGTAACGTCTGTTCCTACGAATGAGTTCCTAGAAAGAAAGCCTTCGGGTCGAGCTTTTCGGGTCGGATCTTTTTCGCGGAACAGCCCCGCGAGCAATCATGCGATCTTACGGCGGATCTATTGCGTACGCCTTTTCGGTACAACACAATGGCGCGCCGAATGGAAAGGTTAGAGAACCGTTTTTCGCAACCGAGCCTCGTACACGACGACGATATTTCGGTGCGATATGTATCTCGATCGAATTCTCGATAGCTGATTGCGTCTCTCATGAGTACGTCTTTCCTCGGCGATTTAACAAAGGTCCTTTTTGCGTGAATTCGATCCCCGACGAGGACACCACCTTGTACGTAATGTGATAAACTGTCGGTATCATTATTGCGTGACTTGTCAATCTCGCATGGAAACAGATTTTTTTTTCCTCGATACAAACTCCAAATTTTTTTGTTTTTTATTGTTTAAAAATCTTTTTTGCATTTAATCCGTGGAATTCTCTGTGATATCGATTAACGATAATTAACGATGGGATAATGCATCGGATGATGACGATGAAATTTCAATCGGCGGATTTGAATCGGCTGCATTTTTCGTACGACAGACATTTCGCGAAACGCGATTTCGATAAGATTGTCTCGACGGTGTTCGTTTTCTTCGATGAAAGTTCTGTCTCTCGTTTATTTTCGTCCGAAATTAGTTTGTGTGTGCATCGATGATGAAACTCCGGCGGTGTTACGGCTGCTCCTCGTCTTCGCACATCCGGTCGATGTTGCGATATTCGATCACTCTCCCCTCCCCTCCCCTCCCCCCCCGTGGCCCCGCCGGTGGCCGTAAAGCCGACAACGATAGTGTCAGTCGGAACTTTCTTTGATTCTCGCGAGAACTAACGAGGGGATTGTTACGCTAACGCGGGTGGAACTGCGGGATTCGATTTAAAGGCATGCACGGCGACATCTAACGGTACGTCAGAGAAAGACCGTACATTTAAGCAAGTCCCCCTGCGTAAAACGTATGTATACGCGAACACGGTCTCCCGCAAACTGGTGGCCATATATAGCATCTCCGGATGGGCATTTCTGCGCGCGCATGTGACAACGAGCGAAAACAAAATTTCAACAAAGTAATTATTACATATTTCGCAAAAAAGAAGCCTGTCCGGAGATAATTCTTTATGTTTTCGTAAAATAACGCGAAAGAAGGAAATGAACAAAAATACGATATATAAAAAAATAAAACGACAGAAAAAGGAATGAGACAATTATTTGGTATGCGCAACATAATCTTTTACGCAGTTCAACACAAATATTTAGCGGAAATTAAAATAAAGTTCTGTTTCTCGCAAAGATGAAGAAAATCGTCCGAGAACCTTTATATGTATATTCTTTTTTGACACGTATTTTACTTTTCTTTTTCCCACTCGAACCCGCGCGCGGGTAAAAATTTAGCGGCATTCCGCGTGTATGATCTTTTTTTTCCGAGAAGTAATTTTTGCTGAGATCGTTTCGAGATAACATTGCGGCATGTTTCTATCCGGAGACACCGTTCCCAGATCGTGCGGCAAATCTCACACGCGCATATCCAAGGACTTGTATTATTCACGATCACATGACTGAGAGCTCGACGCAACAGAAATTATTATCTGCAAACTTAAACGTTTGTTAATTTTTACACGCAAGAAACTTGGAATAAGTTCCAAACAATTCGCAATTTATAATGAACAATAAAGTACATTTAATTCACAACAAGGTTCTTCGCTGAATTTTTCTTGCCCTGGCGTCAAATCTTGGTCTTACTGACAAGTCGGCTATATTGCGGATAATTGACAAAAACTCAATTACTATTTTTTTACAAAAACATAATAAAATCTTTTTTATTTTATAATTTTGAGAGGTTTCTCGTGTGCTCTTTTCGTAAGAGGCAAGCTATGTATCTCCGATGCGACGACGAAAGAGCCGGCGCTACTGCACATGCGTTGCGATCTGAGAACATTGCGTTCGCAGTTTCAACCACCGCCTTTCTTTTTTCACTCCTTTTCGTTGCGAATATCGAGAATCAGGAGCCGCGCTCTTGTCTCGCGCCAAATTCACGCGCGGACGGTAACTTGAAATAAAAAAGAAACATCGTTAAGCACGTGTATACTTTTGCTGAGATTAGATGACAAGTCATCGTTGACAATCGTAATCAGGGTAGTGTATGCGATAAAAAAAATTAAATTTCAATTTTAATCGGTTAAAAATTAAAACAAACGAATAAAATATCACGTTTATACGAACGTCCGAAGAAATTTCAAATACAACGTGCACACTAGGACCCCCGATAACGTTTTTCCACATGAAGTTGATGTCGCCAATAGGAAACGTACGGTAACGTATGTAACAATTTCACGTGCGAAGACATTTACGGTACTTGCTGTGTGAAAAAACCTCAGACAGATCTTCGAACATTTATTACAATCGCATGAACGGAATATTGGAAAATTGTAATTATTGTAATTATTGCGGTTAAAAACGTAAAATCGTAAAACTGTAAATCAAATGTAACAAGTGCCGCATATGTGCTTTAATTTAAAAAAAAAAAAAAGAGAGAAAGGAAAAAAGAGAAAGGGAAAAAAAGAGAAAGATCGAGATGACATTACAGGATGAGATTCTGATTTACGCGCATGCGCATTCCTGATACAGGCTTCAACTACTCACAAACCAACTCAAACGTGAATGACAACAGAATTGCGCTATTGGGTGTATACATGTCTACACTACGAGAGATAATCGCACCGAAATCACGTGGCACGTGTCATCGATGCGAGAGACATATACTGTATATATACATATATATATATATATCGCGCGAGAAAAGCGCGCGCGACTTTCCAGCGGGAAAGTAGCGCCGCGAACCGCAACCAACGCAAACTATACCGTAACAAGCTTCACGTTTTCACGCTTCGGCGTTTGTTTGATCGCACATTCGCAAATTCTCTTATACATGGTGGTGGTTTAAGATAAAATTTTTCACCCCCAACAATTCTTTCTCTAAAATTTTCTCCCTCACCTGATATCATTTCCTGAGATGACATTTGCAGAAGTAGCGCGAGCTGTTGTCGTTCCGACATCCGCGACGAGTAACCGCGGAAACGACTTGTACCGCCTGCGGGCATTCCGTCTTCATAACTCATGTAACTCGTGGCATGGAAAATGTGCTTGTGGACATCGAACGTGGACAACGAGCATGTAGGCCGTCACGCGTCACGGCCAGCAAACGGGTCCGCGCGCTCGCCGCCAAAAAAATCCGCGCGCCAACGCAAGGCCGAAGATAACCTTAAAAGTGCGCGCGGGATCGGGTTCACGCCATTTTGAGCGCGATTGAGCTCGTTCGCGCGAACAACAGCTAACAATCGACGTTGACGCGAGTTGACACAACAACAACAAATGACAACACGACGGACAACACAACACACACACACGCGCGCACAACACACAACACACACACACACACACAAACAAACAACGCGCAGCTCTACGCCGCGACGGACGAGAACGCGCGATGTTCTCGCGTGCGACACGCGCGCGCGGTTAGGATTTTTTTGCGCGTCGCGCGCGCGACTCACGGGACCGTCGCTCCCGTTCCGGTCGGCGACGATTTGATTTCGGGACGCGACATTTGTTAACGAAAACTCTCTGCGCTTTGAAAACGAGATTCGCGGACAACGCGATTCCGGGACACTGCGCGCAATATGACGCAACATACAAACGATACGTAATCCGAGCACGATATGCGTTGGCTCACCTGCGTAGCGCGTTTTACGCGGGAACATTCAAATAATCGGCCGAGTCGGACGCTACAAGTGGCGCGCAAAGTCAATGTTTAAACAGACGTATTACCGCTAACAACAAAATTTCATTTGTGTATTTTATTCAAGCAACACGCGCATAAAACACTTCCGTTTCTTTGTTGCAACCGTTAGATCGATATTGCCGGAAGCAAAAGTTCATGTAAAAATTTGCGCGCACACTTTACGTCGGAATAAAATTTTATTGAAATTCGCCAGCGATGTTACTTCGTTTTGTGTATACGCGACGGTCTTTTTTTAAGAACCTTCTTTCGTGCGCGACAAAATGAACATATCTCGTCGTGCGATATCTTAAACAATAATTTTTATCGCAGCACAAAAATACCGACCATCATTCCAGCGTTTTACCGACTGTGATGCTTCGAAGAATAGAGTTTCACCGTACAGAATGTAGAGGGCGCGGTGAAAATCGATTTTTCTCGACAGCGATATTTCGCGCGCACAATTCCGCAACGGTTCGATAAATTTGATATATCGCAGATCTAAAGCCTCTTGCACAATGGGCGGAATAGCGATAGCGATAGAAATAACAAAAGTTTTAAAGAGTTTATATTTAAAAATAAAGGTAGGAACAGCGGAATCTAACATACAAAAATACACATGTATCAATGCAGATCAGAAAATCAGAATAAGCAATAGCGATAAAATTTCCGACGCGAGTTGGAATTCTGTGTTAAAAACTGTGTTATTTTTATCGCTATCGCTATTCCCTCCACTGTGCAAGGGGCTTAAATTTTACGACACGGTGGTCGCACGGAACAGAGTTTTAATGGTAAAAAAAATATCTTCTCATTTCTTTGATGAAGTTTAATTCAAGTTCGAGCTAATTCTCAATTGTACGCATGATAATTTTGTAGTTCACGAGTCAAGCGCGAGGACAGAATGAACAAAATCAATTGTATTAAAAATATAAATAAAACGAAAACTGTGAAGAGTGTGAGAATCTCAAACACGGCCAATTTATATCGTTAAGGCGCGACGCTCGTAGCGCTCATAATCGGCGGAATTATAATTAGGAGAGCCCGACGTGGAATATAACAAGACAGGGAAGGATAACATTATCGTCATTAACCGCATCCCGCTGATACTCGCACGGATAACAAGATAATATGTATGTACATATAATATATATATAAACCGAATATTTTGCTGAGAAAAGATAAATGAGGCCAGATACATCGACGTCCTCCTCTTGTTCTACTTCCCTCTTTGCTTCCTGATTACCTTTTGCTGGTGCGCATAAGCGCAAGGGGGGTGTGTCATCTCATCAATTAGAAATATTTCAAAAACCGTGAGAGATTTATTGTTAGATTACTAAGTTTATTCGTATGAAAGTCAATATATATATTGTATCGATCGACTTCCTTGGAATTCGCTTCGACTATAAAAATCTGCTGGGATTTCGCGTCAAAAGCGAGAATTCCAAGTCTCGGAGGTCTAAAGCAACTTTATACAGATGTGCGCATAATTTGTCGTGTGTGCAATACTTACGCCTCGGAATATAACGGAAAATTTATAGCGCAGCGCTGAATGCGCGCGTAAAGCACTTGCAGCGCGCGTCGCTGTAAAACGCGAGAGATGCGATGCGAGCCGGGCGTTAGTTTCATGAATGTTTCATTGGCGCGCACAATGTTTATAACTGTGTATCTTCCTCACGGATCCCTTATATATACGCGCGTATTGCCTTATTGCCCGCGTTGCGCGCACCACACTCGATGAAAATTTACGATTTGTCACGCCGTCGTATTTTACGGCCGTGAATTTTTTCGCACAGGGAACAAGAGAGAACCAGACACTCCAGTGACACTTTCCGATCTCCGTCTTTACCTCATTACAGGTGTTTCCCGTGGCTGATTTCCCGTTACGAAATGACACGGTGCGTCGCGTTTTGTGGCCGCTCGCGCGGAGAATTTTTTGAGAAAGCGCAGAGAGAGAAAGAGAGAGAGACGATGATACAATGACGAGCAGCACCCAAATAAGCGCACACGCTTCGAAAACGGAACGCATTATGGATTAGCGACAATAAGCGGTACGTATATACTGCTGATATAGAAAAGCAACACTGCGCGTGTCGCGTTTATTTCGCCGTTGTACGGCGCTTGTTGACTTTGCGCGACGGGTTTTGGAGCTCCGATTCGATAAACAAAGTCTTGGAGAACCAGTCACGTTATCGAAGCCAATTGTTCAAGCGGTTTTCTCTCTTGCGATTGACACAAAATAATAAAAAAACTAACTTCTTCACTTGGAAAAAATAAAAATATTAATATATGTACAAGTTTTACAAACTTCTCTAAGTATTTTATTGAAACTGCACCGTAAAGATCGTAAGTAAGATTTGTATTTTTTGCATAGCTTTGTGAGCCGCTTGTAACTAAACTCGTAAACCCGGAGTTTACTCCAGGATTTGGATACAAAAGATATGGGAAGCGAACCAAGGCTGTTAGGTCGTTCACGACGATATGCCTGGAATGCAAGAAACGGATAGCCGGCTCTAGGCCGGTACCTGAACCGTCGGCGAACACCGAAGTTACGATGAAGAAAAGCACAAACGCAGAAACGCGCCATGTATCCACCGGAGAAGAAACTCCTCCGGATCGTTCTTCACGCCGTCTTTTCCGCGTCTATCTGCTCTCTCTGCGTAGAGAATGTCTTTCTTCCTTTTGCGGTGCGATAAACGAAGGCGGAATTTTAGACGCGGTTGAATTGCGGTAAGAGTAAATGACGTTTAAAAATCGTCGAAAAATCTGATTTTACTTGCGAACTAATCTTCTCCGAAGACGTTGAGTGATAATAAAAAAAAAAAATAGGACTGTCATAAAAAAAAGTCGTAATTATTATAATTTTACGATCACGGAATATAAGGAGAAGTAATTTTACCCTAATTTTCTCTTTAAATGTGCCGAGGAAAAAACATAATTTTAGAGAAGCCCGAAAGAAATCGGGACGCTCGTTGAACACATTGCGAAATCAGAAAAAAAAAAAATACGTCTATATATAGTCTGAGAACTGTTTACGCGGTCTTTCCTCTTATATTCGTCATATTATCGACTGATAATTGACTTCGGGACGAAATAACACGGTGGAGGCACACAAGTGCGCTACGCTATAAGCACACATGCGTATACATGTACACGAGAGGAATGGTCTGAAATCAAACCGTAATGAGCTGAACGGTACAGCGTATTAAAACTGCGAGCGGAGAAAAATACGTTTTCCATTAGCGCTCATTGAGATCTCGGGGTGGCCGTGTGCGCACGAGTATTGCGCCCGTCGTACCATAATACCCGTCTTTGCGTCTGTGTGTCGATGACGGTCTGCATTAAATAGAGATGCTTGTCCCGCCGCCGCCGCCGGCCCGCAAAGTTATCTGACCACGAACTCGCAGGAGTTAACTCGGTACCGCCGGCTGGCTACCTGCTGGAGAGAATAACATTTGTTTGAAATTGTAACGGCGTTTACAGCCGTGTAGAATGCCATAAACCGCAGCTGTTATTACCCGTCGCGCGGCGATCGACCGAGTATTAGCCTGATTTTGGCGATTTCTCACACACGCGAGAAAGAAACTCGAATGACGCTCGTAAAACGGGGTCCGTTTAGAGAGTTTTTGCGCCCATCTAAATCGCTTTGGCATATCGAGCTGAAATGATTGAGTACAATAAATTGGGCTAATATGGAAATCTCTATTGTAATACAATGTAATTGTGTGTTTGCGTCTGCATTAACAAAAAACAAATGTATTACAAGAATAGTATTCAATTACTCTTTGATAAAATATTACGCAAATGATCTAAAAATCATTTCACAGAATCTATCATATCGCGCGACGAAGAAACGAAGTTAAAGAAGAAGAAGAATAAAAGAAAACAGAAGACAGTATGATGAAGAAAGAAGTGGGAGCATGGGCCCCGTTGTGGCCGCTTTTCCGTTCCTCTTGCTGCTCCCGTCCTGAAAGCCCGACTACCAGGAGTCCGTTCAGTCTTGCCTCAGTCATCCACACGCAAACGTAGACGCGACGCACTGTGGAGGAGGGCACCGCGCTATTTCTTGTTTACGTCCTTTCAATATCGTCGTCACGCAACCCCTCGGTGTGCAACGCCTAACAATCACGTTCTCGTTCTTGACGGTGGCAGATACGGCATATATAACACACAAATTTACGATCACAAGTGAAGCAGAAGATCTAAACCATCTGATGATGCACGGAAGTCGCAGGATAATTCTCATCCTCTGCACGATGATGAATTACGCGGTGAGTTGACGAATTACTCTTCTTGGTCGTGATAACACGTCCGAGCGAATGTCTTTTGAATTTTAGCGCGAGTCTCATCGGATCGTTTTCACTGACTGATATAAAGAACGAGCATCAAGACTCATTTGATAACCCGTGCACTGTATAGATATACATATATAAAAATAGCACATATGTAATTTTTCAAATTTATCGCGTGTGTGCGTTGCTCGTCTTTTGATAAAAAAAAAAAAAATTGATTAAATAAACTCAACCGTATGTTAAACTTTATACTGAAACACGGAGATTTTTTAGAAATCACTTTTTTAAGATTCTTTAATTTTTGTTTTACTCGTTTTTTTTCTGAATGTAATATAACTTTCTTTCTTCTTACCGCGACGCGTAAAGAAGCTTTTTTCTGCCCATATTAATCGAGGGAGTTTGAACGACCCGCCATTATTATTCCTGTACGCATCAACCTGCAGGATGCCGAACCGTTGTAAATTATATTACACATTCCACTAACGAACGCGAAGTTGAATCTCTTTCTCATACTGATGGAAGATGAGAGAATGCGCTCTCTTCGTTAAGTCAAAATTTTCTTCCAAACAGACCGGCTCTCTCTATTATTACCGAGATGAGATGAATATAAAGAAACATTTTTTCAGAGAGCTCAATTCCTCAAGAAATTCCGACTGTGTCAATATTGAATAATTTCGTGTGTGCTTAGGGTCCCGTCAGTCCAATCATCCTTGCGGACAAGACAAACGTTAATCCCATTGGCACTCCGTGCGCTCATATACGCTCGCTACGCACGTAGAATCATAATAATTCTTACTCGATGTCATAGGTCGTTGGACCCTGACACGTCAGCCGACACCGTCGAGATGTCGTTCGTTGAATATTATATGAGCGCGACGCTAAAGAGGATTCCGGAATGTCGACAGAGAAGGCCCCGCTCCATTCTTTTTCAATTTATTACACCCAAGCCCTTCTTAAGAAGAAGTAAATAGTTTGAGAGTGCATATGCGCTAAGTGCACGCGAGCGAAGTATATAACGTTGTTACTTTAATGTATCTTCGAGACGGGAGACATAATTAAATTGAAGGCACGCAAATAGCCATGTAATTATCTTATTACAAGAGTGTGTCCTTCACGTTGAATAAAAAAAAAAAAAAACCTCAAGGACATATCTTTATGAATAAGAGATTAACGAAATGGACACATGTGATCTTCTTGCAAAACCAAAGTCGTTTAAAGTTGATCGATCGTTTTCACGATCTTCTGCTAACTTTTACTTAAGTGTGTTCTTATTTGGCGTTTGGCAACGTCGGGACGAAAATTGTGCAAGCTCTTATAAACCAAGCGTTTCCGACACGCTACACATTTGATGATATATTTTTATCACACGCATCGCTCGTTGCTGATTCAATTTCGCCGCGCGAAACAGCGAATTAAACACACAGCCGCGTGTCTGTTTTACATCGCGTCAATTTTCAACACACCGTATCGGGCAAAAACTGTGTCAATTAAGTTGTCCGCGAACTGGCAAGTCCAAAGAGCTTCGTTAGCGTTCCTCCACCAGGTGGTTGTTCCACCGTCAGGTTTATTAACGAAGAACGAATACCTATTGTTTTCGTGAACAAGACCAGGCAGAGAAATAGACCAGTCACGATCTCAGGAATAGACGTTCGCGAGCAATCGACCCGAGAGCTTCGATGTGTTTCTCTCTCTCTCTCTTTCTCTTTTTCTCTCCGCTTTGTTCTAATCAGTATGCAGCGGTAGTTGCAATTCCATCTGCAACGATGCAGATGAACATTGGCTCGTTTCTTTCTTTCTTTCTTTTTTTCTTTCTTTCTTTCTTTATCTCCGCGGACGGAGCGTCGTCTTTTGCGTCATCTTTTTTATACATATCGCGGTCGCACCATCTATTATCGCGAATAGCTTCATCCCGTGTGTAGTCCGAGCGGTTTCGAGATCGAGTGAGTTCGCTCCGATTACAGATCGTCAAGGGATATATTCGCTCGGAATCGTTATCAGAACGTATCTATCGGGAAATGCGAGCGCGAATGACGAGCGAAACAGTTTCGCGAACAAAAAGTTTTCACGGACGGAGATATCGGCAAACAAGTTCGTCCCGTTGAAAGCGGGAGAGAACGCTTCTTCGTTTCTTTCCTCGGAAACGCCTCAACGTATATATCCCACCGGGATAATTGCAACCGCGATCGATGTTTTCGCGCAATGCGCGTAGACTATATCATCACGTGTCAAGTTGCCGCGATAAATTTATATTTTCGCGGCATTGATTAGGGAGTTTTCCAAACGCGCCTCTTCCCGCGCGGCGAGGGAGAGAACGCGCTAATGATCGGCGGGATGGTCCCGTCGGGAAAATTGAAGGCTTCCGCGCGGCGCGTTATTATTATCTGAAATCAATGGTGTTCGATGCCTTGATGCTTGATTGACGATCGCGAAGAACACGCGCGTTCTATGTAATAAGTTCCAGAAGTAAATGAACGTCCTCGCTTCAAATTGTCGCCGTGGCAAAAGATTGAAATCTTGTACAGACGAAACACACATGAGACATGTGTGATGTATATAAATAAAAACTAACTAAATGTTATCTATGAAATTATCGATCGATCTTGATGCGTCGTCGTTTTATATTCGAAGAATGACGTAATAATATCGCACACGATCTTCGAAACGTGACGAGCCGGTTATACTGCAGTATCTGTCTGTGTTTCACGCGTTCCGAGCGTATAGAAACCACCGGCGTGACCAACGATATGGAGCGTGCTCGTAAATCTTATCATATACGTGTAGAACGTACGTTACACACACACACACACACACACACGTACCTATCTCTCGATCGTGTGTCGCGCGTCGCACGTGCGACAGAGAGAATTCGCATTTAAAGAGAAATGTGGCGTTAAAATTGCGATTATATTCCCATTTTGAATTCGCATTAATTTTCTGGACGCGATCGTAAAGAGTTCGCGTTTTGCAATTTATATGTTTCGGATTCTTTAAAAAATGTGAAGTGCGAACAGCGAATTTAATCCGAAGAATCGCGACGATGCGATTACCGCGGCGGCGTGTATACGTTTCTCTCTTCGGAAACGATCATCGCTGATGTTCCATCCCGCGTTTAAATTGGCTCGGCTCGTTAGGTGTAATTAAGAGAGCGTCCGACGAGATGCGCTTGTAATGTGCATGCATATGTGTGTGTGTGTGTGTGTGTGTGTTGTGAATATAAAATCTATCCCATCTTGTGCCGCTGTACGCGCATTGCCGCGCTCGTGCGTTTCCACGTGCACGCAGCGTTGCGTGCAACGCTCGATTAACCCTCCCGAGAAGGTGGATTAATTCCCTTTTTTTCTTCTTCTTCTTTTTAACATCTCACGTACATGCGTGACCGTGTAGCCGTTGCGCACATTGGAATTACCGCAAAAGGAAGTGTGCATATTCCGCGATAATGTTTGAAAAATGCGGCGGGTAACGCGCGGTAACATTCCGTAGATTAAAAATGAGAAGAGTTACACGCTCGAGTGGGAAATTTAAGCGCGACAAGCGCGCGGTCGCGTGTGCGATTCTTTTTTTTTTTTTTTTTTTTTCTTTAAAGATGAGAACATCTCGTAATATGTTGCGCGATAAATTCGTGCGAATTTGTGTGTTTAACAAAAAATATTTAGCTCGTACGTACAAGATTTGTTGCAAATAAATTGTTGCAAAAAGTTGTACCGAACAAATCTCACTGTCTTTTGTTGTGTTCTCGAAATCAGGTCGTTAGTACGAAACAATTGAAATCGAGCCTCGTTACACTTAAAGAGCACGTGTGTTTTTTTTAATGTGTCTTAATCAGTTAAATCCACGTCTTTTCAATCACTGCGCGCCGCCTAACTGAAGTGTACAGTACGCTAACGGTGCATACGTGCGCAACGGATGTCATGTCATCTTGCGGTGCTCAAAGTGCGCGGCCGCGAATTTACTGCGTGCGATTCTCTGTCTCCCATTTCCACCGCGCGAATACCAAAGTAAACTGGCAACCGGTGTTTTGCGTTTCCCGCGGCCGCGACAATTGTTTCCACGTTGAAAGAAGGAAGCGATATGCAAACAATACCCTTCCAAGATTATTAACTGTTGTATACATTTATGCGTTTTTTTTTCGTTTAAATTATAAATGTTTATATGGTTTTAATTGCATTATTCGAGAACAAAAATTTTTTAAAAATTACAAATAAGATTTGATGTCGTGATGTGGTAAGTTGAAATTTCTCGAACTTTGTTCTCTGCATGTGTGGTTTGCGAAGCTATTTTAAATATCTCTTGAAAAATTGCAACGACCGGATAGTAACAAAAAAAACTTTTATTTAGTCGATCGTAACAATACGAAAAACGGTTCATTCTGATTTCTCTGACATACCAACAACTGTCATGCTGTTCGCCTGCGAGTGCGCCTTGTGATGGTGGATGTGCGCAAAAGTGCACGGGCATTGTTTGCAGATCGTGGGAAACCGAGACGCGATTAGAACGAGGGAGATAGACGGGACGGGAGGGAGAGAAGAACACAGACGTAAGTACGTGACGTACGTACTCGGCGTGCACCCACCTCTCCATGGGGCTAACGTGCGCGTTTGGCGTAGAAAAATAACCGCGGAAGTATGGGCTCCTTCTGGATGATTACGAGAACGCGCAAGTAAGGCGTCTGCCGTAAAAAACGCCGCGACGCGCATGAGGTGCTTCGACCTTGACGTCCGATGCACCCAATTGTATTACATGATGTGTGGGTAACGAGTTCAAAAAATAAAAATCGCAACGTGATGAATATCACGCGTTAATCGATATGATATTCTTTCAATTAATACGCGATATATCGATTGTTAAAAGTATCAACGAAGACTCGCGCGAAAATTTCAAGCGCGCGTCTCATCAAAACTAGGTCACTCGGAAAGAGAGAGAGAGAGAGAGAGACGACAACTCATTTTCTTCGACCTTTTTGCAGAAACTGATCTCGCCCTCGGCTACTTCAACGTACTTGAAACTCGGCGACGAGTGTAATCGAGACCGGGACTGCGAGGTCGACATTGCCAACAGCCATTGTTACTTGGGTTACTGCCGATGTCAGCCCTTCTTCGCCGGTTACAATGAGACTCATTGTCTCGAATGTGAGTTAGCTTAAGCGCGCTCTTATCTCCTCTTCAAACATGATTTTTTTACCCTTCTATACGTACAAATGCTCTTGAAACGTTCGCTTTTTTTTGCAAAATTTTTATAGATTCTATAGCTTTCATAGAAAATTCAATATTCTCAGGAAGTTATATACGCCAATGTTCTAATATTGATGTTCTCATATTAAATTCATGTAGCGACTCTCTTGGGCAATGATTGTTTCGTGAAGGAACAATGTTCTTTGAAAGTGGCGCACAGCAGCTGCCTCGAGGGTGTATGCAAATGCGAGGACGGATACCTGCAATTCCGGAGGCATACTTGTCTAGGACGTAAGTGTATCAACTGCCGTTGATTAGACACACGCTGGGAAAAAAGTTCTTGCCGGAATAGCAAGTGGATTAGTTACCGCAAAGCCAGCGAGAACAATTTGCTACCTATTGAAGTTTTTGTTTTTTGCCAACAAAATATTTTTTTTTTATCGTAGCAAAATTCTGTTTTTCCGCGCGCTTCCGTATCGCACAACATGTTCTTCCCCCATCTGAATTATAATAAATTAAATTCTCTAATGCACACGAGTGAAAAACAAAACAAAAAAAAAAATACGTCGCAAGTCTGAAATTATTTTAATTCTCAGCGGCAAAACTCGGCGAGGTGTGCTACGAACACGCTCATTGTCGTCTCTGGGATCCCGAGTCGCATTGCGATTTTCTCATTCCGGATTTGTTCGGTCGCTGCCAATGCACCGCGCCGATGCGTCGGGAGGGCGATGTGTGCCGACCCGACAACCTCGTGAGACCCGTGCTTCCGGAATACTTGCCGCTGCATACGGAATCGATAATAGAGGACGCCAATGAGAACGAGCGCGACAAGGAAATTGTCACCGAGGGACAAAAAGAAACAAATTCAGAAGAGCAAGACACAGGTACATCGAGATCATTCCAACGGAGTGATTTTTAACAATAGAGATTCTCGAGAGCACGCGTAGAATTTTTTCCTCACGTAGAATTTTTTTCTATCGAGGGACCGGAAAATCTGTATTCGCGGTCTGCGTCATCGCGTCCGTTTGTTTCGCGCGTTTCTTAACCGGTAATCAGATTTTCCGCGCGTACACGAACAACGCAACGGGAATTTGTGAGATCGAGCGGTTTACGTATTCCGCGTGCAACGCGCTCGAGCGGATTAACGAGATAAGAGAATTCGTATTCTTAATTAACACGCGGTTATTAGCGAAACACACGAGTGGCATTTCCCCGCGAACGCGCAGGCAGACGCGCGAAGGTAACACTGTTTATCATTCGCGTGCGTGGGTATATCGCAACTTCACAAAACTCGCACTACGTTAAAAGCTTCATTATTTTCCATCATCCTCTTGAAATATTTTCAAAACGCTGCTCAAATAATAAAAATATAAATGTTGCGATTTTTGTTTTGACTTATGAGTGATATTTTTTCAACGTTTTATCTGTTTAAATAGGCGTGCAGATATCCTGGCTGAAAAACGCAACGATGCTCTTATCAACGGAAGTGCCCAGTCAAATGATACCGGTAAATCTGGTGACCAGGCCGTCCATGAGCGTCAGACCGGGATCTGACCGTCCCGGACCGCACGAACTCCCCGACGATGACGACGCTATTATTATCGACGCAGAAGTCACCGAACCCTCTATTACAACTACGTCGATTGGTAAGATATTTTATAAAGATTTTTTTATATTTTACCGAATCGAATACCGTTGCTGTAACTAAATTTTATTTGCTTTTCAGCGCCGATAAAAACTGATCGTCACGAGAGCACGATAATGACAGCTGTCAGCTTGGGGTTGTCTTGCATCGCCGACCTGGAGTGCCGTATGGCCGATCCGCTGTCGCGGTGCATCAACGGTGTGTGCGACTGCGTCGCGTCCGCGGCGAACGGCACGTGCAACGCGCGACGAACAGGCTGCGCGCCGGGCACGTTCCAATGCCGATCGTCCGGAAGCTGCATCAGCTGGTTTTTCGTGTGCGACGGCCGCGCCGACTGCGCCGACGGCTCCGACGAGGAGTGCACCGGTCCTCGTTGTCCGGTACAGGCATTCAGATGCAAAGAGACCGAGATTTGCATATCGAGGTCCGGGCTGTGCGACGGCAACCTCGACTGCCCTCACGGCGAGGACGAGATCGGCTGCAACAATCGGCGAAGTCGGTGTTTTTTCTCAGATCTCTTTCACGTGTATTTTCATATTTATTCTAAAATATATTAAATTTTTCTACAATATCACCGTTACAGTGAAAGTTTTCTAACATAGAGTCACTGGTTTTTCTTGTCACGTCATTGAACGTTTAATTATTATCACGCTTGTCTCTCTTCCGAGAGACAACAAAGTTTTCACTTTCCGCTTTCTACTTTTGCATTATTTTAAATCATCGCGTAAAGTTCTCCCCCCGAATTGCTTGCCTTCAGAATGTCCCGAGGGCGCGTTCAGGTGCAACAACGGTCAGTGTCTACCAGCGTACGAATTTTGCAACGCGGTGGTGTCTTGCAGAGACGGCAGCGACGAGCCCAGGGGCGCGTGCAGGACACACAATCGCGGCCGAGTCTCCGCGAGATTTTGTCCGTTCAGGTGCGACAACGGCAGGTGTCGTTCCGACGCGATAACCTGCAGCGGTCGGGACGGATGCGGAGACGGTTCCGATGAGAAGCACTGTAGCGTCTGCAGTAAGTATACATTCATCGTAAGGAAAAAACTTTTACGACGTAACGCGCAAAAAACTGTAAGTGCACTTTCACAAAACTTATCCTCGCGTAAGTAAAACTTTATTGACAATCACGGTCTGCGAGGACTTTGTTTTGCATGATTTTTTCTCTTCGAACAAATAAGAGGTAACATTTTTCGCCGTGATTTTTCTTCCCGATTATTACACGGATTTGCGTGTTGGGATCACAACGTTTTAAAAAAAAAAGGAGACAGTTTTCGCCGAGTCGAGGCAGCGCCTCGACATTTAGAGGCCGTTTAAATCTGTGCGCATTTCGCTTCGTAGCTTCCTAACGCAGGCGGCAGTTATGCGCGGGCGTAATTAGAAACGGGATGCATCGATTACGTCGGTATCTTCCGCAATAATCTCTACACGTATCCGGAAGAATATAGTGAGAAATGAATTAATCATAAACAAGCGCACCCGGTATCTCGAGACGCGATAATTTAAACCGCGCGATTCAGAAAGCGCGATTTATTATACTTTGTTATCAAAACGTGGGTGAATCTGTATGTTATACATATATATAAAATGCATTTTCGAAAAAAAAAAAACAATATAAAAGAGAGAGAATATTTACAATTTTATAGTTTTGAGAAAAATCCGTGGCATTAAATGCACGAACGTGATGAGCAATAATAATAATAATAACCATTCACTTGAGTGACCTTTTCTTCATCGCTTTCATGCTGTCCAGAACAGACGTATTATGGTACTTAGCAACGGCGTTACGGCAGGACGCGCGTACGTTCTGACAAAAGAGTTTCTCATATCTTATCTTATTTCTCACAACCGTTTTATATAAAAGTACGGAAGGCCAAGCAAAGCAAAGAAGCGAAAAAACGGAGGAACATTTTTGTGCATAACTTGAAACAAAAAAAAATCACTAAATATTGCAGGATGCAGTGCGAATGTCTAAATCTCATCTGATAACTTCATCGTGTCGCATCGCATCGAAATGGGACAAAGGAACGAAGTGTAAATAGAACCACCACCAACTGGCTCGTCGATGATTTGGCAGTGCTCGAGGATCAAAGTGGACGAAGATAAAAGTGAGGCGTGACCAAAGATTGTTGAGCCGCCCGTGTCGTGGCCGACACCGTGGCTTTCGACACTTCGCGATTTCGAAAAGACTGATTTTTCTCGGACTGGGTTCAGATCCAGTGTTAAAAAAAAAAAAAAAAAAAAAAAAGAACAAAGAAAAAGGAAACTTTTTATCGCGTCTTCTGCGCGAACTTCCTCGTCAAGTCAAATCGGACCAGTAAACCGCCGAGTCGTTTTCTCGAGAAAAATAATTGCGCTCATAATGAGGCTTTATAATCGTGGCATAATGACACTGTAGACGGGGATAGCGTGAAAATTCCGGATTCTATATTGCAAATGTGTGAGTTATATCACAAAAACGTAATAAGTTATTATTAGCAGGACGTGTACGTATATTGGCACGTCGCACGTAGTACTTATGTCATATTATAGCTGTAAAAAAAAACACTTGTACATTAAAATTTCATATTTATCAGCGAAACGTGGAAGAACGTGTTTCTAGAATCTTAACGATGCACGTATTCATTAACGTAGGTGTTTAGAGTCATTTAAAGAAAACTGAACATTTTATAAAATTTTATAAAACGTCAAGAAAACACGTGTAATTAAAAAATGAATAAAATGTAAAACACATTTTTAAATAAACATTGCGTTTTTTGCAAAATCTCGTACTTCTATGTGTGTGTGCGTGTGTGTGTCAAATGGCGTTTCAATAGCTTTTATAATTCTTCCGATGTATTAAAATGTATTCAATTTAATAAATCGAAAAATCGTTATTGCATTATTTATTAGAAGATCATTTAATTATTGCTCCGATAGATATATCGTGCGCATATCGAGTATTTGCGAGAGAGATGTTCAACTTGTTGTGTCGCGACGGTTATAAATTGTTTTCGCGGGCGTCCGATTGATTTCTCCTTTGTCGATTGATTCTTCCGCACGGAAATAGGAAAACCAAAATTAGAATTTGTTTGAAACAAAAATATGTCGAGACTAAAGTCAAGGTTGTCGTATCGAAATAGCGCTGTTACATCGCGCGCCCACGCGCAAAACCAGCATTCTGGAAAATAAAATTCCGTGAATTATTTTTCAAGCATGTCGACCTAGTAAGTTTACGTAAATTGTTTTAACAAGAAATAATCTTTTCTCAACTACAGAATGCGCTTTATTTATAAATTCTGTACCTCTTTCTTTTTTTTACGCGAGTAGCAGCAAAATATTATAAAAGGCGTTATTAAAAAAGCGAGCGCATCTGCGGTTACGTAACGCGTGCATTTTGCAATACGTCATAAGTGCAAAGCAAAGCGTAAATTGATGAATCAATGACTAGCTCTATGCAAATATACCTGTTATCTTTTTGTTTTACTTATTTTTTTGCGTTGTAAATCGTCTCATTATTTACAATGTTTTGTGAGCGTACATACGCGTTGAAAAGAAAATTCATTATAAAATAATGCAACATAAAAACAAGTACATAAATAATAAAAGTAAGTAATAAAATAAAGTTTGTAATAAATTTATAGTCTTATTATCTGGCTCACCGATACGGTTGAGTTGTGAGAGAAGGTAAGCGTAACAGACCGATTTTAAGTCCCGACACACTAACATAAAGAAGAGAAGAAGAAAATCAGATGTGTGGATTGAGCAAGACACTCTTGGGTCTATTGACAGATCAACGACTTTGTCCGATTTTACTCTATCATACGTCAACTCTCTCGCTTAACGAGTCTTTTTAGAATCTAAACCGTTTTTTTTTTTTTTTTTCAACGGACTCGTCAGTTTAACAAAGAAGGACTTGTTCCACCTAGAAACCTTTTAGTTTATCGCTTTTTGCGATGTCGCGTAGCTTCTAAACGTGTTTCAATTGTCATACAATTGAATAATATTTTAAATATTATTTAAAATATTATTTTTTGTGTTTCAATTGTTTCCACACGCACAAAGTTACGGACTAACAATAAGCTATTGGCATATTGGATAATGAAAATATATACATATATACATATATACATGTAAGATACATACACACATATAAGAACGTACATATGATATATGTTTTATATCTGGATAAGTTATATGGATACCAATGTGTTAAATTACTTAAATAATAAAGTGTTTTTTCACCTCGGATTTGTGACTTGTATCACATCTTTATCCTTGCGAAGAAAAATCTAGCATGTCCTTACGTACATACATTGGTTGATGTTTTCGCAGCTGATAGCGGTCCCGGATAATTTCGCGACTGCGTATCTCTGTCTTTGTTTGTGCTTGTCGATAACAGTCTGTCCGCGAACTATATTTCAAAATGATGTATACATATGTATATACATTCGCAGCATCACGTTCCGACCAACAAGCAAGTTGTGTTACGCGCACTGGAGAATATTAGACAAACTCGATTAAATTTTCTCCGCTTTGCAAACCCCGCTCTAACATGTACCAATAATATTTTTTTATCCAATTTTTTATATGTAACGGAAGTTTTTCATTGTTTTACATGCTGATTGTTTATTGTAATTTTTCTTTGCATCATTAATGCCCAATTTCTTCACCTCTAACGGCCGATTTCTTCATACCTCTCGATAGCTATCTTCTGGATAAAATCCTCTGAGAACCAATAAGGGGAACCAATTTTGGGAGATATCTTCTAGATAAAGTTATCGAAAACTTATCTAGAAATGAAAAAATTGGGTGTAAATAAATTTTCGATAACTTTATTTGAAAAAGATAAAACATATCTTTCTGTATATCTTTATCCGGAGAATAGCTATCGGGAGGTGCGAAGAAATCGCGTCTGATTCGGAATTTCCGAATAAATATTTAAAAACAGATAACAATATTTGAGAAATTTGAGAAATTGAACAAATTTCAAATACAACGTAATTACGAACAACAATGTTAAACTAATTAAATAACAGAGTGTGTTAACAAGCACAATGTCAAATTTCGTAGCCTTCGAAGAACGGAAGTGGCTTAATCGCATTTAATTTCACATTAAGTATCTTCTTCCGTACATATAGTATCAATTTCAAGTTGACACGATATCAGAGTGTCGAATAACGCGTTCGAGTTTCATTTTTCACTTTGTGATTATTGAGAAAATTTTTTATCCCAACTGTATCAAAACACATCTCGACAATATTGATTCAGTTGTAATAGGATTAATAAACGAAGTAGATCGAAGACGTAACTGCGCCACGGAACGCAACGCAACGTTGGCACGCAACGCACCCCGCAGCCCGCGGTGCAGAGGTAGTGGTCGTCGTCACCGTCGTCAACGACGACGGCGACGACGCTGTATGCGCGAATCTCCGTCAGTCGGCGACGGAGTTGCCTGGCTGCAGTGTGGGTGGCACGCGCGCGCATCGGCCCGGCCAGCCTGATTCGATTAAACTTCGACGCAGCCCTTGCGAGCTACCCCCGCAGTGAGCAGGGTGAGACCAACCTCGAGTGGCGCCCGTTATGTCGAGAATCTCCTCAACGCGCGCACGGCAGTATCGCAGCGCGAAGATAAGCTCCGTCGCGAATCGCGCATCCACTACGTCGCAGCAGCAACAGCAACACCCGAGGACAAGTCGAATTGTGCCAACAACAATCAGTAACCGCCTCCCATTCGTACGTCGCGTGTTTGAAAGGTAGCCGAAAGAAATTTTTCGCACACACAAGCTGATTTAATTGTCACAACTGTCTCGTGCGCGATTGTACAAACACGATGTGTGCCGATCGTCGTGTGCTTTCTCGTGCCAAGGTAGTGAAACGTGCAATCCTGCAATTTTCTGTATGAGAAGTTACTTTGCTACTTGAAAGCATACATAGGAACAAAATCTTGTGATGTGAGAACTGATTGTTTTTTTTTTTTTGTTGAAGAGTTTTATTTTTTTTTTTTAATTTCTTGTGAGAAAGTATGAAATTTGCATATTTGTGTTTGTCTGTCAACAAATAGATGATATTTTGTCATGTACCAAATTTTAGAATTAAGACATTGTTGTCTAATTGTTTCGTTTGTATCCGCAAAATTTTATTTACGGAAAAACTGTAAAGATTTTGAAAGCGCTCAAACATGAGAACACTTCACATTTTCGCGAACAACTTTTATTTACGTTTATGTAAATTAAATTAAATTAAAGACAAAAGAGAGAGAGAGAGAGAGTTTATTTAAATTTAAATTTAGATTTGCTTCCGTGAAATCTGTATCATAATTTTTTAATGTCGCTCTCGCGGTATCGCTTTGCTACGTGATCCAATTCATCAGTGTCTGATACGTGTAATTAGAGTACACGCTTAATTAGAATACACTTCCTGTAGATTTTGATGAAATTTGTCCTATCTAATCTTCCGTTTTGCGAATTCTTACGAATGTTTCACAGAACTATTTTTTTTTTTATTTTATATAGAGATAATATGTAAGAAAATAATATTTTAGATACATATATATTATTTCTATGTGAGAGATCTCTCTATAGAGATTTCTATACGTTATCTCTTCTTCGACCATGGGATTTTTTTAAAAAATAGTGAGAAAAAAAAGAGAATTCCTTTCGACTCGTGAATAATTAATCAATCGATACGCATTGTTTTCTTTTATTTTACATTAGTTTGTGTTCTAAATTTATATTTTATAATTTTCCGCCATTAATACCAGCGGTATTTGTTCGTCGTAATAATTCCAACATTGCAACGATGTTGTTTAATTATAACGTAAAAGCAATGCGGTAATTATTTTGCGTTCAGATATTTTCTGTCATTGTCGGTTCTTGTCTTTTTAACATAACGAACAAGATGATTTATCGGAGATACACATCCGTCAAAATTGATGTCCGTTTATAACTTTCCATTACGCACGATTGCTCACCCGACAGGAGAAGAACGTGCACACAAGCCTTCAATAATTTCTCCTCGCTAGAGGGGAGAGAGCCGTTGCTGATCGCACAGCTACCCGCCGACCGTGGCACAGTAGGAGAGCATATAGTTACGTATCACAGTGGAAGCTCCTTCCCCTCTCGCGAGGCGAATTATTGAAGGCTTCTGTGCGAGTCTATCACGGAGCATACATATGCAGCATTTATCTAATCAGTGTGATTCTCTGTCATTCCTTAAACGACATAGAAAAAAATACAAACAAAGAGAAGGACATCTTTCGAAGTCTTTATTGACTTCTTGAGATTCTTTTTTAAATTTCGTGTTATAATGATTTAATTGTCTGTCAGATAATTAGAAACGTGTGCTGATATTGGAAACAAATAGGAAAGTTAGGAGAGGAATATGATACAACACCGAATTGAATTTCTATTTGAATTGAAATTTATCGCGTTCGCGCGATGCTTCATAAATCACAGATAATCTTCGGTTGTTTTTTTTCGCTAAGTTATAATCAGCGCGTAATCAGGAAGAGGAAATATCGTGCGAGCGCGCGCGTACATTTTTACAATTTCAGAACGTAGCTGCGGATAGCGACGAAGATTTTGCATTATCAGGATTGTTGCACAATACCGCGGCTGCTCGATGATCGTCTGCTTTCAAAAAGACGAGGATTACGAGAAAATCAGCGAGAAGGACGAATGTTCAAGTGGCGGTCGACGATGTCGAGCGAGAGAGTTCGTGCGCGAGAACAAGAGAGCAGTTGAAACACTTTCGACGGGCGAAACGAACCGATCTCGCGATCGAACGCAACGCCGAAATTACAGTCGACACAACGAGACTCGCATTATCATGCGGAATCACCTCTGATCTCGTCCGAGAACAACGACGACGCGAGCTGACCGAGCAACATGATGTGGAAGGTGAAGTGGTCACGCTTCACCGAGTGCTTGTGCCGACGACCCGGTCTTGTTTTGATTTTGCTCCCGTGTTTGCTCGTTGTCACTCTCTATCTTGTTTCCGGCGACGACTACGGCGAGTTCTACGCGCTGCAATATCCGTCCTTCAAGTCGTCCTACAACGTCGTCGAAGGTGAGAGTTGTCGTTTGTTTGTTTTTTTTTTTTTTTTTTATCTATTGTCATTTCGACATTTATAGCTAGTGAAGTGTTTTTGTTTGTTGCGATACACATTGGCCACCTCGCGCGCGATAAATTTTATCCGAAAAACTTCAATATTCACGCGCGAAATATTGGCCAATATTTATAACTGTTCCGTCGTATCATCGATCGTCAAATATTATTTATACAAACTACGTGGTAGAACAATTGACGTAGCGAAGAAAAGTGATACCTTATGCACTTGTAAGTGTCCACTTTAAAAACACTCGGGTATTTGAATATTGAAAATTTTGTACCCTTTGCAAAAGGGTCGCGTTGTTGTACGAGCGCGCCTATTTTTGTTAAAAAAATCATCGATATTGCGATTTGACGACAGGTATGGTCGATGGTTATCTCGTGTGGAATCCGAAGTGTCACATGCTGTCGAAAAAACCTCTGGATCCGTCCATCACGAAATTCGTAAAAAAGGAGAAACTGGAGAACTGCCCGAACAATCTGGTGCTCTCGCAAATTTTCAAAGACTCGAACGGCAGTGTGTTTCTCTCCCTCGATCCCGATATAACGAACAAATTTAACGACGTCGCATGCTGCTGGTCGTCCGTTGTCAGGCCTAAAGTGAACAAGCCTAAGAAAGACAACTACGACTCCATGATATCGTAAGATTTCTCCGTCTTGATATTATATAAATAATGTTATAATAAATAAACAATTTTATATATTGTACATTAAAATAGCATCAATTTAAGATATCAGTAAGATTTGTATACGCAAACACGAGATAAGAAAAATCACGTATAAAAGAAAAACTCTTCTCACTCTTTGTTTACACAGCAAGATACTGAGAAAATTAAAGTTTCGTGTATTTATTTACTCGATTTATATTATTTTTTTTTTTATTGTTGTTTACTTACGGAGAACATTTGTTTTTCAAAATTCTTTCTTCTCGGTAGAGTTAAACAATGCGAAAACTTCACGGGACAAGTGGCGCTCCCGCCCAAGGAGGAAGTGGTTTACGTGTCGTGTAAATCGAAAACGAAACCCAAAGTGAAGACGAAGAAGCTCGCGACGAAAACGGTATACGAGAACGTTCACGCGATTCTGAATCCGGAGAAAGTGCTCGATCGCGTGGATCGCAATGACACTCAGCTCGGAAACTCATCGAGGAGGCTGAGCGTGCTCGTTCTCGGTATCGACAGCGTCAGTCGGCTCAACTTCTATCGCACGATGCCGAAAACCGAGAAGTACTTGCGCGAAACCGGCTGGATCGGTTTGAAGGGCTACAACAAGATCGGCGACAACACGTTTCCGAATCTGATGGCGATTCTGACCGGTCAGACGCCGCAGCAAGCGTACTCGCGGTGCAAACCGACGGTAGCTTACAAACTCGACAATTGTCCCTTTCTCTGGTACAACTTTCGTAATGCCGGCTACGTCACGGCCTACGGTGAAGACGAAACTATTCTTAATACGTTCAACTACCTCAAAGTCGGCTTCGTCGAACCACCCACGGATTACTATCTGCGACCCTATATGTTGGCCAGCGAAAAATTGCTTAAGATTAAAAAAAGGTAAGTAAAAAATAAAATTGTTACATACTTCAAGGACTTTTATTTTGTTCGTTTGTACACGCGAAGATTTCGGTTCCCGCTGTTCGCAGATTCAACATGAAGTACTGCACCGGTCCCGAGCTGAGCTTTCAGCGTATCTTCGACTACGCCATGAACTTCGCCCGGACTTTCATCGGTGTGCCGTACTTCGGCTTTTTCTGGACGAACACGATGAGCCACGATAACATGAACGGTATCTCGTCGATGGACGCGAACATGCTGAAGAAGTTCGAGTTCATGGAACAGGAGGGGATCCTGAACGACACGATGGTGGTCTTCCTGAGCGATCACGGTATGCGCTGGGGTGAGTTTCGCAACACCTTCATCGGTTGGTACGAGGAGAGGTTGCCGTACATCTACATATGGTTGCCCGAGTGGTTTCGTCGGGAAAATCCCGACGTCTGTCGAGCGCTCGCGATGAATCAGCACCGACTCACCTCGCCGTTCGACCTCTACGAGACTCTACGGGAGATCCTTGTCGTCGGAGGTGGCGATGCGGATTCCAGTCCGGGATGTTCCACTTGCCAATCTCTCTTTGCACCGGTTCCGAGGGAGCGGGGCTGCCAGGACGCGGGAATACCTTATCACTGGTGCACCTGCACGGCTTTCAAGTCGATCGATGTCAGCGACAGTATCGCTGTCGGTGGCGTGCAAAAATTTCTCGACCACGTGGAGAGCATCGTGAAGGAGTACAAAGACAAGAAGGGCCGACGGCTGTGCGCGCGTCTGAAGCTGAAGAAGATGCTACGGGTGGATCAGATGATCGACTTCGGCACGGACAGTCCGTCCAGCGTCGCGTACTTCTACATGATCCAAACGACGCCCGGAAACGGCAACTTCGAGATCACTGTTCGATATTACGGCAACGGCAATTACAGCCTGTCCGACAGTGAGGTCAGTAGGATCAACCCCTACGCCACGAGTGCCAGGTGCTTGAGTCGCGGTATGAAACAGTACTGCCACTGCGTAAAATAAATGTCGTGAATGTATGTATCCAGATTTCATCGTATCGGAAGCAATACGATGTCAATGCGCTTTTCTCAGCGTCTATTTCGATCAAATAAACTGGAAACGTGTGAAAAGACGGTAAATTTGCGCTCGAACAGTGCGCAATATATATATTTTGAAAATTTGACGAAAATAACATTACACTTTCCGGTCTCCCTAGTAATAATAATAATAATAATAATAATAGTAATAACAATAATAACAGACTTAAGTTTTTCGGTGAGAAAAAATTATAGAACGAAGAGAACGCGCAGCAAAACCTTGATCCGTTACGGTCGAGAGAGAATTTGACAATATCACGTACGCGGACAATAAGTATGGTCACTCTTCGATCGCAACGAGAAGACAGGATGACTCACGGTCACTCTCTCCGTACTTGAGAAGAGATTAGTTTTTTTTTTTTTTTTTTGTCAAAAGAAGAGAGAGGAACGTGTTAAATCAAATACGTAGCGATGAAAAACAAGCGCGGACTATCGCTGTACATATTTTAAGTAACTTTTACGACAGCTTTTTCAATGTTTTCGCGACTGGGTTTCGCAACGATATCATTAAAATATTTAATTGCTCTATTAATAATTCAACGTGTATTATGCGGCTCTAACTCTCGGCTTCTATGAGTTGTACACGTGAAACACACGTACGCGATATACGTATAGCTTGTATACTGATATGCTTGGCACATATCAAACATAAAAAAAAGTTGACTGCCTCATCTCAAGGAACTAGGGACCTGAGTGGATATATACACATATATATATATATTATATACGTGGACATATCTTTATTTCCAAGTTGGAACGTATAGATAAGACCGTGTCGTTTGCATGTAAGTAATTCAAGATAGTCCGATAAAAAGAAAACGAGGTTACCGGTGCTTTTTCAATTAAGAAAACCAAAAATCGTCGTACGTGAGAATTAGAAACGCAAAAACGTCAGCTGAATGCCAAAAATTTCAAGTTGCGATAATAATTGTTTAAGATTTGCACTATTTTTAAGAGAGAGAGAGAGAGAGAGAAAGAGAGAGATTGAAGTATTGAATTTAATTAAAAAAAAAAAAAGATATATATTAAATATAGTTTTGCGATTTTGAGATGTTTAAGATGTTTCGCGCGTTTGCACGCAGTTACATAAATGTTACTTTTGGCAAGTTAACTTGTATTCGCATTTGTTTTATAGAGTTCTATTTATATAGAATTATTTATAATCGCGGCAATAAATAACTTGTAAGAGGGAACGAGCGTCGTTAGAACTTCTTTCGAAAAATCAAATCACGTTGATTTTTCCGTGCTTGCGTTGCAATTTATTTCGGAATTAATGTCATATATCATACGATAGGTGGTTTGTATCAATTTTTTTTTCCTTTAAAAGTATGCACTTGTCGCACATGTGTGATAAATTGTTTTCGCTGTTACACACACCGATCGATCGCATCGTGTTTGACATTTTTCACTCGAATCGATAGACGTTAAAGATGCATGAAACACGTAGAGCTATAAACTCAACGCGAAAGAGTTGTGAATGTATTTTTCCTTTCACAACGACGTCATGGCAGACCGCCAAATAGTAGCAAGATCGCGGTGCTCGTTTCTTCTTACACAAGCAATACACACGAGGCATTAGCTGGTCTGCTGTAAGTAACGCGTGTGCCTGACTTACAAGAAGTGCCAAATCCGTGCTAAACGAGCATCAAAACAAACTTCTCTACTTCTCGCATCGATAGCGGTCATCACAGAAAACCGATTTTATCGATTTTGTCACAACAAAGATACAGTTGTGTGTGTTGAAAACCAGTTGAATGTTAACGTTCTGTGTTTGTTTAAAATTGATTCTATGTAGATTGGAAAAAAAATTTCTATTCCGTGCTCGTTTTAAAAATATTCTCGAACCAAAAGATTGTTTTTTGTTAAAAAAAAAAAAAACACGATCGCCTAAATAATGTGTACGAGAAGTAGTATTTATTTACGCAGGTTTAAGCGTAAGTTGTGAAAACACGAAAGGCCAATGAAAAAAAAAAAAAAAAAGAAAAAAATATATATATCGTGATATATTTTACTACGTCGTTATATATATACGCTTTATTCTAAGTGATACAAGAAGGACGTAGGTCTCTGTTAGTTGTTCACAAAAAAGAGAGATGTAATATAATCAAGTACTTGGGATATTTATTTAAACAGAAGAGAAATTGCCCGAAACTTGAAATCTTGTTTTGTTTCGAGTCAGTCGAGCCAAAGCAAATTGACTTCCGTAAGTGATATAGAAATTACATAGGATCTTATAGTTGTCAAAAGCAATTTAGAATTGTCGTAGAGTTATTTTACGATCATATACGCATTTCCCGTTAAAACTCGTTAAATTCAAATTTCTTAAACGACATAAACGAATTTGTCTCATGTGCCATTTTGTTTCATACATGTATGTCATAAGCGAAATTGCAGATGCTTTTACAATAAATTATTAAATTACGATATTAACGTCACATTATGGAAGTAATTTTTTTTTTACCCCACTTTCCTTCCTTGTTTGAGTCATAGTGCTATGATTACGAAATTGTTTACACAATTAGATATAACACTGGGTGTGTATATACATTGTTGTGTATATATACATTGAGTACATTCATTAAAACGTCTGGTAAAGTGCATCGTTTCGATTATCACTTACGTACATAAACTTATCTCGATCTTTCAAGTCACTTTCGTAAACTCATTTCGCTCAATGTTTCTATTAAATTTGTGTCGAGGCGCAATATGATTTTTGCCGTTCGGTTTGATTATCTTTTTGCGAGTAACAAACTTAATAAATTTTTTATCTCAATCGTGTTAGCTTCAATTCTTATTGCGAACAAGAATATTGATTATCTAAAAAAATTTAATATCACAAATGGTGTTATTAAATATTTTCGTTTTTTGTCTTTCTCTTTGCTGCTTTTTATGTCTTAAATAAAAAAAAACGTAATTATCTATAATTATCTATTCACTTCAAAGTTTTTTGCGCAATGATACTTTTATTAGATAATCAAGTAATAATCGTATAATTTTGATATAATCATTAAAAATTATAATTAACTTTTTTCCTTTTTGAATTTAATTATGAAAAAATATATTTTTAATTAATATTTAATAAATATATTTTTTAATATATTCACATATGTAATTTTTCCGATTGTTATTTTTATCGCAAAATACACTATTACAATTGTTCATGCTCAATTACCTGCTTGTCATCGGTTAAGTTCAATATCAAAGACCAAAATTAAATAGACTGATCTCGAGCAATGTTGAGGGCATCTTCGCTGGAATGCCAGATACGAGCATGCAAGCGCCTTCTTCTAGTTGGTGGATGCGACAATCGATCGCGCGTCAAGCCGTGCTCCGGGGTACCGAATAGCATCACGGTGACTGATCGCCGTTTGTGGTCGACGTTGATACTTCTGCGCGCCAGGTAAGTGTCAAGAATTTTGATGCCCTCGTAGAGACTGTCCAAGTCGCAAGTGGGATATTGCTGATCGTTGCACGGTCTTCGCCGACCGATTACGTTCTTCGGTGTGTTACTCGGCGTGTTTGCTATCGTGCTGGGATTCGTTGCACATCCGACGCTACTGGCCACATCTGACACGATCTCAAATTCGTCTTGCAGTTTTTCGTAGCTGTTGCACGTGCTGATCGTCGAGATTCTGGTGGTGCAGCTGTCGTGTGAGAAGTTTCTCGAAGAGCGACGCATAGTGTCGCAGGGCGACGACATCGCTGTCGAATCAGCGCTGTGATAAGATGGTTTCATTTTGGAACTCAAGAGTTTAAGAATAACGGTTCTCGCCGTAGAGGAATCCTGCTCTTGGTACTCGTCGGTTTTATCCGTGATGATGTTCGCTGTTTGTTCCGGTTCAAGTTTCGGTGTTGCCTCGCGATTATTGACGCTTGAAGATGATGCAGAGGTTTCGGAAGTTTCCGGACCGCCAATCGAAACATCTTCCACGTTGGAAGTGTTGATGGCGCATCCGCACGCTCCCTCACAGGAACAGACAGAATTTTTTTCGTCCGATTTATTAGCTCTTAAAAGAAATTAAAAAATAATTAAATTGGGAAGTAATTAAAAAAAAATATTTAATATACGTCGACGTGTGTTTTATATTTAAAAATTTTTAAATTCTTCAAAGTACCTATCGGCCGCCTCGTCATAATTTTCTGTTGAAACACGTTGCGCGTGTTGGCTTGTTTCTTCCAACATTTCTCTAGCACATGCTTGGATCGCTTCTCGAACGATCTGCATATCTTTCGGAGAACTGTCAGATATCCAAGTTGCATTCGAATTAGCGCAATCCGTATTGTATGTACCCAGAGCTTCGGTGTTCGTGGACGATCCCGCGACGAATGGATGATCGTTGTTGGACAAAGACTGTTGGGGATAATGCGAGCTGCATCGAAGCCAACTATGACGAACAGGACAGATCTGTCTCATCGATGCCGATAAACCAGCTAGATTAAGATTTCGCAATATGGTTCCCGGAGGCGTAACATATGGCGGTGGTGGACTCTCGGGTACACGAGACGTGCTCGGGACTAATGGCGTCGTTTGGCTGCTACAATTGTTGTTCGCGCCCTCGACCACGAAGTAAGTCGAAGAATTCTCGTCCTCGTCGCGCCTTAAATACGCAAAATTCACGAAAACCTAAAGACACTTGATTCTTTACCGTCAGTCATAGCGAATTTTAATGTGCATTTAAATATGCAAAATCATGTTCAAACTGGAAAGAAAACGCACTGTCGTCGCCGGGAGCTTCTACCGCAGGAGTCGCGATTCAAGCATCGTGGTTTCTTTGGCAAAGCGAGCTTTGCGACCTCTTCGTAGCCAGGCGGAGCTTCGTAACCGGGCGGATCATCCGGCGGGATAGATATTTCATCGATTCGCGCGCCGTCTGTAATATCGAACACTGTTCGGAGTGACGTGAGAAGTATTTTCTTCCTACTAGCTTGTGACGAAGGTTTTCGTCAAGCAACGAAAGAACGAGCGCTCGATCGATGTAGTTCGTGAACTTTTAAATACATAAACAATCAAACGTAAACCTATCATCTATTCGTTTTTTTTTTTTTTTTCATATATTGCTCTGAGGCACAAGTAAATACAAGTTCACAGAGTACAACGACTTTCTTTTCAGAATCACACACAAATCTGCGTTCTCCCCGAGATATTTGAATAAAAAATTATATTTTCTGTAAAAAAAATGTATACCTAGAAGCTCGCTGATTGTTTCCAGACGAGATTGCAGTTCCCTTTGTTGTCTCGCTCTGGCTCCTATTCTGTACAACAGTATAATAAGAGCCGATATTAGAATAATCAGACCGAGGCTGCTGGCAACAAACACCAAAGTGGCAGTTTTCAGATCGGGATATCGATCGATCTTGGGAAAGTAGTAATTCGCTTTGTTCATGTGCCATTTGCGATCGTGCGGCTCCATCTCCCAATCTGCGCGATATTTCGCATAAATGACTCAAACTTCAAAAATATTTTACTATAATTCTTCTCTATTGGTTTTCTACATTGGTTTCGTAAGAGATACCTTGGAAACACGTCGCCGGCTCGTCGCTGTTATCGCCGCAATGATCGAAACCGTCGCAATTCAACTGAGTCGGTATGCATCTGTGATTCTGACACAGAAAATCAGTGCCCGCAAAGCAATCTAGAATGAATGGATTTCTCAAAAGCGCGAAGCGTATACAACTTTATCTTTGATTTATCCTGAAACCAATGCGGATTATCCTGTCCCAATCGCGAATAGACTTACCTCTGTAACTGAAGGCCCCGTAAGCGATCGCCAGATACGAACTCGGACCGAATGTACCGCGAAAACTAACGTGGAATCCGCTGGTGACAGGCGCGATATGTTCCCTGTGTCTGAGCGGCTGCAACTGACTCGCCGGGTGCCGAATTACCTCCAGCGACATTAACGCCGAGGTCGGACCTTGCTTGATAATGAGTTCCGTATTACCGGCTAATAACAAACCCAGCAATTATAAAGTAGCAGATAAAGATATCGTTTACTATTTTGTAAAGTCATATAAACTAATTCGACTACGTTTAAGTCATAAAATAACGTTTTTTATCATCTTCAATTTCATATCTTTTGTGTTATCTCTATGCGGTACAAAAAAAAAATTGTATTAAATATTGAAGAAGCACTTTTTTTATTTCTACTACGTTTACAAAAAAAAAAAAGAAACTTTTATCAAATATATCTAATACAAAAATATTGTCGTGTTACGTACCCATGTCGGCGAAACCAACTACCTTCAAATACATGTGTGTCTTCATGTGCAAGAAATTTTTTGGTGGTCTGATCAGCCAGACGCAATCGTAAGTTTTCACTCCGTGATCGACCATGTTCATCATCGTGATGGTGCCGCCCAGATTTTCCACGTATCCGCCGCAATCAGTAACCGGCCATACAGATTTGTCGTACGTGTGGCCGATCACGAAGGAGTAAAAAGCCTTGTAGCCCAGACCGCTGCCACCGTTCGCGTAGAATCTTATCAACAACGACGGTCCGGAACTTACTATTACAGGTGGTCGAAATCGCGCGCCGCTGCTCACATCCAAACGTTGTCCGTTCCAATCGTAAAACTGAAAGAATCAAAACACATCGATATTCCGAGTTTTTCAAAAGTTAAACAAATACAAAAAAGTTCTGCACCTAAAATTTGTTAAAAACTTATGAAAAAATCTTTTTATTTGGAAAAATTTAGTCCTCGATATTTCGATAATCACTAAAAATTAAAAATTTTTATTGCTGAAAACTCATAATGTAAACGAAAACACTTTGTAAAAGTGTACCTCCATTATGGAAACCGTCGCTAATTGAAAGTCGCTAAATAACAATCTGATGCGACAAGGGGCTTCCTTCGGGCACGTTATGATGTATTCCAGACCCAAATCACGAGGATATCGAGCGGGGAAGAACGGCGAGGTCAAGATTCCCCCGCCGGTACCGTTTAACTCTTTTGTCGGCACTTTTGATGTCATTTCCGTGCCTTTCAAATGCATTCTGTTTCCTGCACAAAAGCGACGAATTTTCAGAATATATTTTACCGACCGTGATTCAAAAGACCGAACTGTGATTGATTAAAAGAGAGACTCATCCATTTATCAAAGGAATATGCGAAAGACCGATAAAAGCCGGAGGCGGAGTTGATGACGCGCGATAAATAGTGCGCTTGTTATCGTGGAAAAATGAACAAGTCAACTCCACCTCGAAGCGCTCTTCGTAAATTAAAAGCGTAATTATTTACACCGATGAACGATACGTGCAGGCGCATCAGAAAAAAAAACTCATAAATCAGTTAATAGATCTTGAAAAATTACATTTCTCTTTTAACATGTCACACTAAAATATTACATTGATCATCTCTTACTTTCCGCTGTGTACTCGATCGTGAACGCGTGCTTGTGAAATTGGCTGTAAAATAAATTTATGGACAAGGTTCTCGTGCTCGATCTGTACGTGATGGGTGCGTACGTGCCGCAGAACGGAGAACCGGAAACGTCCTCGTAAGGTGGTTCCGACAGCCACACGTAGTCGCATCTGTATAAAAAAAGACATGTATGATCTATAGAAAAGAGGATCTCGATACGAGAGCTATCGCTTTTGCAACCACAAGTAGTACGTTTATACTTCACCTGCACGGACTGTCCATCACAACACCCCCGTCGCCGCAGTGATGCGACAGAGCGATATTCTTGAAGACCACGACTACCACGCAGGACGGACAGGTCACCAGCTCGAGACTGCATTGATAATGAGAACTGTTGGTGGTGCTGGTGATGGAAGTGGTGTAAGGACGCGGTGGCAGTTGCTGTTCCGTCCAGCTCCTGACGAAGGTGACGTTTTTTGCATACAGAATGCCCCTTTCGCCCAACTCCAGATATAACCGTCTACCATTGTGTGGCCCGCAGATATCCTCATTCCGGATAATATTTCCGGACGACGTAAGAATCCATCCAAACGTCGCGAGGATCACTGAACTCACACAAGCGTTTTGTTATAAAAAAAAAACACACACACACACACACACAAGTTTTCAAACGCGAAGACGCCCGATACAACAATAAATTCAAGAGAGTTGATAAAAACATGTAATTTTTTTTGTCTCGAAAAGAAAATAAAACTTTTTATGTAGAAAAACTAGATTATAAACAACTGTAGAAAATTTTGTTCTTACATTTAAAAAAACTAATATATGTTAAGTGTTTCAAGAATAAGAAAAAATATTTAACAACAAAAACGCTAGTGCGTGAATATTGAAAATTGTTAATTTTTGCGCGCAAGTCGATTGCGTTTACTATTTCTCACCATATTTTAACCAACACATATTCGCAGCGCGAAAAGGGACGTTCTGCACTTTTCGTCAGGAAACCCGATGCGATTACGCGTAATTTTGTTAGCGCGGCGACGACGTTACGCATCTTGCTAATATCGAATCAGGCACTCTTATGGTATCCCTCGAACGCGCGCCGATTATCTTGCACTTTTACGACGTTTAAAGTTCAGCCAAATCGGTGTTATTATACCGTAGAATCCACAAACGAAATGTCGCATTAAAAATAATGAAATTACAAAAGAATGACCGAAACGTATCATAAAAAAATCCCCACCGCAAGTCGAAAAAAAAAAAAACATTGCTGGCGGCTTCTTCAGGCTCACGTTCTAAAAAGTAATTTTGTTACCTGTCGATATTACGATGAAATACGTTCACAATTACGAAAGAGAGTCCAGGTCAATTCCGTTTATTTAAAAAAACCATGTCGCAACGGCGCGTTTTACATGCGCGCAGGAAATACTGAGAGACTGGAGTTCTGGAACTCGGTAACTTTTCAGATAACGAGCCATCGACTCCGATATTCCCTGCCAGTACTGAAAATCTTTAGTACACGTGACGTGGACTATAGATTTGCGGTGAATATCGGAGTGTACAGCCATTGTTGCGCGCAGCTACTTACTTTGTTGACATTTTGTCTGCGCAACAGTGGCGACACTATCCCGCGCAACAACAGTGTTCACGCTATTTATCCTCAGAAGTGAACTGTATGATCTTTTAATGGATTTTGAAGAAGTGTCAGTCGGTTCGCCCGCGTTAGATATGACTATTGACCCGGAAAGGCAAAGATTTCCTTTCTGCATTGTCTGGACCCCATTGCCTATTTTGACGTAAGTCAACTTGCAGAGCAAATCGTAATTTATAACCTTCCCCAGTCATATGTGTCATATGTGTATGACAAGATAAAATTGAAATTCTGTTAGATAGTTTGTGACTATAAGCAAAACAAATCAACAAACTGTATTTGTTACTTGGAAGTATTGGGAATTTCTTTGATTTTTTTTAAGATACATCATGCCGTTTATTGGACACATGGGCATTGCAACATCGGTAGGAGTGATAAGAGACTTTGCTGGTCCATTTCATGTCTCGGAAGATAATATGGCTTTTGGAAAACCCACCAAATATTGGCAGTTGGATTACACAAAGGCCAAAGGAGGCGTTCTGGGATGGGATGCTGCTGTGGCTGAAGCTAGCGAAATTTATAAAACTAGAATGGTAAAGAAATTGTGAGCTATAAAGAATTAGAAAATTTGTTGCGCAAGGACTATGAATGCCAATTTTTCACAGCATAATATATGTTGTGACAACTGTCATTCACATGTCGCAAAAGCATTAAATCTGATGTCATATGACAACTCCACCAGCTGGAACATGGTAAAACTTGCGTTTCTTCTTGTGTTTCATGGAAAATACGTAAGGTAAAATAACAAGATATGTAATAGCCTCTAAGTGTATAATTAAGAATAAAAATGAAATAAGATTTCGTTACGTGTAATGTTAACACTATAATATTTTATTTAATGTTATTATTGATGTTGCTCATTACTTTTATTTTAGTGTTCTAGGATTTCTTAAGACTTGGTTGCCATTCTGCATACTTGTCACGCTTGTACTTGTATTAAGTCTGTGTATATAGTAATATCATAAGTGAGATATGTAAATCTCAATTTTTTCAAATTATATGTTTAACGCCATGTCCAAGATTTTTTATGAGACTTTCTATTCATGTTATATGAGTTATAAAATTAGTTATAAGATATTTATAAAATTGTTTTAAATATATCTCATTCACCTCTGCGGTTTATCGGTAACCCGTGGGAATGTATTAAAACACAAATTTTATCTTACTCTTTTAGATGTGTAACTGTATATATTCGTCGATATATGAAAATTTAAGAATATCTAAGATGTAGAGATTATTTAAATTTAAATAGAATGGCACTTCTTCATATTACACAATGTCTATAAAAAAGAATGTTGAATTGGGCAAAAAAAAATATGTACATAGTCATGCCATTTTTAACTTACTATCTGTAATATATGAAACAACTCAACTTTGTTAATTTTTATATGTATTTGTGTGTAAATAAGGATATTGTTGCAAGAGCATAATATAACAATCTAAATTTATATTTTTTCTTTTTTACTGTATACAATAATAGTCTTTCACATTAAAAAAAATACAACACCTGAATATACTTTAAGTAAGTATATATGTACACATGGCAATAAATTTTCTTTGCTTCCTTTCCTTGCTTGAGTTTAACCACATACACTTAACTTATTTAATTCATAATTTATTTTTATCTATAACTACATATCACTTAATCTCACATTGTTCTTTACATAAAAAATATAGCTATAGGAATTTTTTAAAACTTATGGCATAACATCAACAAGCGACAGCAATATTACATAGTCATATTTAGAGAAAATACAGTTCCAGCAGAAACAATGGAATGTATTTCAAATTACTCATTGTCTGCAATAGAAGATAATTCCCTGATAACATTTGCCTCAAGAGAAAAGTCATAATCATAATTTTGATTTTCCAATCTCTCAACAAAAGATAATATTTCGTTAATTCGTAGGCCATCAATTTCCAAATTGTCGTTCAATTTACTTTCCAATTGCTTACATAACTTGAACGGTACTCCACTTAGATAATGTGGTACGTCTACTTGTTGACTTCGCTTAGGCAAGTTAAGATCTGACAGTGCGGGGTTCATTGGCGTACCACCAATAAATGGATACAATCCGCTGGGATAAGACGTATCCTGGTTTCCAACTTCAGATGGCAATGAGGAGCTCCTCTTTTCGACCACTAGGAAATCATCTTTTAAATCTGAAGTGAGCTGTTCCTCTTGTTCATCCCTAGAACTAGGAGGTGAATCCTTGTGTTTCTTTCTACCAAAGAGCCAAGACATCTTCTGCAAAATAAAATAGAAAATAAACTAAGATAATTAAAATGTCTTACCCTAAACTTTACAAAATATAAAACTAAGTTATGTCAACTATAAATTACAAATAGCATACGAGTTTTTTAATATGAGACAGAAAGAATGTAATGCTCTTGATAAACGGATGTGTATATGAAATAACATTCAAGCACATTACTCACACTTATTTGTAGTAGACACTAGAAAACTTAAAAAAAAATTAAACACTTGATTTAAAGATAAACAATGCACGAAGAGCTAGTATCATAGATTGTTACGGACTTTGGACTATATAATACACAAAATATCGTAACTTGACATAGTCGTTTGCCTATGTAACATCAGTCGACATTTCTCGTCATTTCTGTGTATAAAATGCGGAATGTGCGAATGTGCAAAAAAAAAAAACAGTCAGTGTTGCCACATGTAATGACAAATACGTACTTATCGAAGATAGATTCCATTTGACGCTTGCAACAATCACGTGATTTACAAGGTCCAATCACAATAGTCGGCAAACAGCGAAGAATCTTGTTTCGTGATTATCGTTGCGAGCGTCAAATAAAACCTACCGAAATCGTAAATGTGCAAACGTATACACCAATCAGATAAAAATCGTAGTTAGCGCTCGTCAAGTGATTTGTGGTCCAAACGGAAAGGTTGTCACATCGATTATTTTGCGCACGGACAGCCTTGGTGCGGTCCGTACGGTCGTTCGAGAACCGTAGAGTAGATGGCTCAGGCGTTCGCGTTTCACAGTTTGATAATATTGCGGCGTAGAGGTTTACACGGCAGGTTTTTGGAAATAAATTTTTCTAAAATCTGAATTCTGACTGATCCTGATAGTTTCTATTGGAAAAGAAGAAAAAGAAGATTATAAGATTTCCAAAGTTGTCGTTTATTGCTCGTTCACCACTGATTGGCGTGAAAATTTATGTTCCAGCTTATTCATTGAGTGCGCGCTTATTAAGCAGACTGCTGCAAGTCGTGCCGCCGCAAGTCAATGTGAAAACGTGAACTTTTGGATATATATTTTGGAAAAAGAAAAAGCGTGCGCACAAAAACTGTTTAAATGAGGAAATTAGATTGTCAGGAGACGGAGAGTCCCGAAGCGTTACAAGCTCAGTTGGATGCTGCTCGCGATGGCCTTCGTAATCTCGATCGCAATATCCGAAAGATGTTGGGCCGGGACGTCTCCGATGGAGAGGGTGTTCCGCTGCAACCACCTAGGTTACATATTTATTATTCTTTGAGTTATTTTCGAAAGTTGTTAACATTATTAAAGAAGATGTTCGTAATTGTTTTTTGCAAGTTAAAACATTTGTGCATTTAATATATTGTATGTATTACATATTATTTATATTTATAGTTTATATATACTATTATACATATATTTTTATTGCACTTTATTATATGTTTTAGACTATCTCAGAAACGACCTTTACTAGAAGATCGCAGAAGACCTACAACAGACTTTGTAAATAATGAAATACCTGGAGGTAAAAGACGTTGGCAAAGTTCTAATACAGAACCAAAAACTGTTTTTAGTCGATTAAGTGCACGTGTTCCATCTACTGCTGATGATAGCGCTGATGAAGATGATAGTGTTGTTAAGGTAACTTTTCTTTATAATTTTCAATTATCACAGTATGTATATCATTTACATTATGAACATTTATCATCAAAGCATACCGATCTAATATTTTAATATTTATCTAGCCTGCTGTATCGTCTAGAGTTATAGCCACTCCTCGCGAAATTCCCTCACGTCAAGAAGTCATAAGGCGAGAAAGAACAGATGAGCGTAGTCGACAAAGAAATAAACGTATGTTTGGTGCACTCTTGGGTACTTTGCAGAAGTTTAGACAAGAAGAAACTAAACTTAAGGCCAAAGTAAGAACATGAAAATATTAAAAAATCAATTTACAAAGTATTTAATATTCACAAAATATCAAATTATGTGTAATATTTCATCCACAGGAAGACAAAAAGGCAGAAGTGGAAGCCAGAGTGGAAGAAGCTAGAAGACGAGAAAAAGAGGAGCTACGTAAGGAAAGGCAACAATTATTTTTATCGCGTAAACGTCAATTGACTATGGTGCAAATGTTGGAAGCAAAGCTTGCGCGTAGTCGACAGTTTCAAGATTGGCGCGGTGCACAGCTACCACTCGCTTCGTTTATAAAAACACGAGCGCAACCCGCTATCTATTACCTACCAAAACGCAAACATCCGCAAACGGATGCCTGGTTAGCGCAATCTGCAAAGGAACTTTATGGTTGGTATTTTTTTTTATAAGTTTGCACATGTTTATATCGCACGTGTGTTTGCACTTTTTCATCTTTTGTTCTTTTCATATTTCAGACGAGATCGAAAAGAGAGAGAAAGAATTGGACAAGGAACTAAAGTTAATAGAGGCTCAGATTGGTTTGGGCAAACTTTCGCAAAACTTTGAAGTATCCGGTCCTTTGCACACAGCAGAGGCTGTTCCACGTTCGATAGAGGAGGGTGAAGAAAATCAAGACCCTAATCCGGAGAATAATACTGAATCCGCAGTCAATGACGACACGGATGTTCCAATGCAGCCCATGAAGAAGGAAAATTTTGATGATGATCATAAAACAGAAGAGACGGAAGACGTTAAGTTCCATCAAGTTCAGTCAGATGAAAATAATGGCTAGTATTTGCTACGATGAAGAGACATTTGTACATATTATGTACATTTGTATGGTCCAATATAAAAAAAAAAAAATTATAATATTTCTTTCATAAGTTTCTCTCAAAGTTTGTTTTATAACTACATAATTTAATTGTAGCAGCAAGCGTAGCTATCGTGTAAAATTTCGAAATTGATTCCGATCGAAGTTGCGTTCTCAGTCTTTGTTGACACCAGAGAGGTAACAGTCAAAAAAAAACTAAATCTTGTCGGAATTGCTTCCAAGACATTTAAACGACAGCCACGCAGATAATAAAAACAAATATACATATAAATGTTTTTATCTATATAATTTATCTTGTTCTGATATATATTTTGTAATTCTATCAGGTAGAGATAGTGAAATTTATTGTCTTATTAATTTTATTGCGATGTATATATCAAAATAAAACTAAGGTTTTCGCAAAACTTATTATTCATTTTTTTAGGGTAAAGTTTTGTAAAATATTCTAAGAATTTCTATATATTTTTTTGTGAGTTAATAAAATCATTTTGTAAATCGAACTATTTATATTATAAGCCTGAGCTCTCACATGTTTTCATCTTGAACAGGTCAGTTAAGTGCTATTTGATCTTTTCTTTCTCACACCCACTCTCTCATCGCTGTAAGATTTTTCTTTCTTTTTTTGATCTCTCGCAATTACCGCGTGGTGAAGGTTACTCGACTTTATAACCTCAAAGCGAAGTCGCCAAGACTGATCTTGTGATGATCAAGTTTAGTTTTTCCAACGTTTTTTTATGTGAAAAAATTTCAAAGAAAAATCGAATAAATTTTTATCAAACTCTAGAAAGATATTGAATTTAAAAAACTCCTCAGACGTATCATATTTGGTAGACAATTAAATACTGTACGTGAAAATAAAAGCGTCACGTCTGTTTAATTGTTGAAATCATTTGTTGTTCGACAATGTCTAAGTCGAGAAAGAGTTTGTCATCGTGGCAAAAATGCGAACAGTGTCAGTGTGTCCTGACGCAAAAAGATTTCTCACTGCACGAAAAGAATTGCCCACCTTCCACAGAAAATTGGAAATATTGTTTTATTATTGACGGAGTTTTGTACAACACAAAAGCAGAGACTCTCGAATTGCAAGGTATATTAATTGTTTATTATATAATTGTGCATGTAAATGAAGTTCTGTTTGATTACCACATATAGTCGCCACATTGTATAGTTCACTGTTGCATAGTTTACAGAATTACCTGAACAAATCTCTGAAAAGGAAGCTAACGGTATGGTGTTCATATCGTTACCTTCTTTGCAATTGTGTGACATTGCGATTGGATCGCCAGTTGTTGTGGAAACTGCAAATGAGAAAATTGTGCAAACAGCTTGGCCAACTAATGGGAAAAGTTTAACAAGCGTGTCTCTGACAAAACATGGTAAACATGTTTGGTTTTATGATTTTTATCTGTTTACTTTATTTTATTACGAATTGTTTTACTTTGTTGATTTCAGCTATTGAATTAAATAATATAACAGGGCCTGTAAAAGTGTACTCTTTGACGTCCAAAGTTGACGTCGCCGAGGAGATTGTAATTGATCAACAGGGAAAACGTTCGGTATCCGACCAAAGTGTCGAACTCGATTATATATTGAAATTTTACAACGAACACAAGATTCTCACCGTTGGCAATAAATTAAGCGTGCCGTTTTACGGAAGAAAGTTAACGTATAAAATTGTTCGCATCAGAGCAGACACGAGCAAGAAAAGACGAAAGAGAGCGGTAGATGAACACAATGATCTCTCAGAAGCTTTCGAAAATATAAGTCTAAAAACTGATTCTACAGACATCATTTTTTACAAAGCATTGTACTCGACGAAATGGACAATTAAAGTGGACAACACGAGTAAAAATGAGGACGCTGTTCCATTGAAGACGTACAGCACTGAGGATATTGGAGGATACGACAGTCTCGTGTCCGACATAAGGGATGTAATTTCGATAGGTATCGGCAAATACAAAAGAATCAACTGCTTGTTCGAACACTTCGATGTCAATCGGGGAGTGATATTACACGGTCCGACCGGTTCCGGCAAATCCATGATAGCTCAAGCTGTAATCGCGGAATGCGGCGTACAGACGTTTACCGTGTGCAGTTCGAATATTTACAGCAAAACCATCAACGAAACGGAAGACAGACTCAAAGAGGTGTTCAAGAACGCGATTGCGAACGCGCCTAGCGTAATATTGTTCGAGGATATAGACACCGTGTGTCCGAGAAGGGACAGAGAAGAGGAGGAACCTCGTCCATTGGAGAGGAGAATTCTCGCCCAGGTGACGGCATTCTTCGACACTATACAGCGCACCAATAGCGACGTATTTGCAATAGCTACAACCACGAAATTGGACTCGGTGAACAGATCTCTGACAAGACCCGGTAGATTTGACATGGAATTCGAGATCTACGTGCCAAATCCGAACATGCGCAGGGAAATATTGACGAAGTTGCTCTCGAAGATACCGAATACACTTTCGCACTTAGATGTGGAAAGGATCTCGTTCGACACCCACGGCTTCGTCGGGGCGGACTTGTACGGTTTGTGCTCGAAAGCGGTAATTAACGCCGCGAGACGTCAGAAGGATCTGATCGCGTCTCACGACGAGCCGAAAGTGGCTATGATCGATCTTCAGTACGCGCTGACTGTGACGAAGCCTTCGGCTATAAAGGAAATTACGGTGCAAATACCGAACGTGAAATGGTCAGACATCGGCGGTCAGAAGGAACTGAAGGATCTTTTGATAAAGGCCGTCGTGTGGCCGTTGAAACATCCCGAAAAGTTCGAGAGAATGAATACCGCGCCTCCTAAAGGAGTGTTGATGTTCGGACCGCCAGGGTGCTCGAAAACTATGATCGCGAAGGCTCTCGCTACCGAGATCAAAGTGAACTTCCTAAACATCAGGGTAAGTCGTTCGCGAAATGTGTACTCGGGTTTGTGATTGACAAAAACTAAAATCCTTGCAGGGTCCGGAATTGTTCTCCAAGTGGGTAGGCGAGTCGGAAAAAGCGGTAAGAAAAGTATTTCAGATGGCGAGACAGGTAGCACCGTCCATTATATTCATCGACGAGATCGACGCGTTAGGAAGCGAGAGAGATTCCTCCTCGACTACCGTTCAGGAACGAGTGCTGGCTCAATTGCTGATCGAACTCGACGGTGTCACCGCGTTGAGAAACGTCACGCTGGTAGCGGCCACCAATCGACCGGACAAAATTGACAAAGTAATCATCCAAATTATTTCTCATCATCTGTTGTGCGAAATCTATTATTTCGTTAATTTTTTTCTCTCAGGCGCTTCTTCGACCCGGACGATTCGACAGTATAATATACGTCAAACTACCGGACGAGCAAACCCGTCGAGAAATATTTGACATAAACTTGCGAAGAAAGCCAGTCGCGGATCATGTAGATATTGAGAATCTGGTTTGCAGAACGGACGGTCATAGCGGCGCGGAAGTTCAACTGATATGCAACGCAGCTGCAATGAAAGCGTTAGAGGAAGATGCCGTCAGTATTACCCAAGAGCATTTCGAAGCTGCACTTAAAACCGTTGTTCCTAGAACACCAGCGTCTCTTCTTAAAATTTATGAGGACTTTATGAGTAAAAACAAGAAATAAAAAAAAAAAAAAAAAAAAAACAATGTCTCTGTGACACAAACACGTGCGAATGAGTTTTTTTTTAAGAGTCCAAACCTTTATCTATGAAGTTAAGCAAAGAAGAAATGAACACATGAAATATATTTGGTTTTTTTCTATAAATGTATATTTTCAAACATGATGAATAAATTGAATATCTAGTTCTAAATGTTCCGAACAATTCGGGTCGCCCGAACTAATCAAAATGTTTCTACTCCGAACTGCTCGAATAATTCGAGCGTACGTAACATTCATCCGAATCCGTTGGCTCGTCGTCTTCGTAGGTTATATTGATGTAAACTTGGTTAGGTTAACCTATATAATTTGTTTATAAATCTTATAGAGAAAAATTACTGTCAACGAGAAGCGCGAGAAACGGATTTTGGAAAATGAGTTGGGATACGGACGATATTTACAGCAGCGATGACGACAGACCCAAAACGCCGCAGGAGAGAGACTGTTGCGGAGGTGGTTGCTCACCATGCATTTTCGACAGTCATAAAATAGCGCTAGAAGAATGGAGAAATAGAAGAACATACTCTACAAAAGCACAAAATGCAGGAGACAAAACACAGAAAAACCTGCTATCACCAGCGTCTTACACAAAATTTATTATTACAAACAGAACTGACGCAGCGGAAGATTACTTTCGATTACAATTGGAACATAAAGGTACTTACAGTTGATAAGTTGACAGTAAACATAATATTGTATACGGAATACTTAACAAAGAACCAAAAATACAAAAATAAATAAATATCAAAAAATAGTTTTTTTTTTTGCTTAAAAAAAAAAACATTAAACAATATGATAATTATCACTAATACCAATGCTATATCTTGACATGCTTTTGTTTATCATACAGATCATAAGACAGGCAATAATAATCTCCATTTTGTGCCAGGACAGTTTGTTATTTTAAATTCTGATTCCAAATCCAGACCTTACACAGCGTTGACTTGGACAGACAAGAGTTTTGACATACTGGTGAGATGGTACAAAGATGGTGAATTTAGTACGCTTTTAAAAACTATATCTCTGGGCAGTGCAATTAATGTTAGAGGTCCGTACGGAAAGTTTAAATATCAAAGAAACAGGTGAGTAAAATGCAGATATGTAAAAAAAATTTGTAACACACGATACTATAGTTTTCAGGATATTGTCATGTTCGGCATCGGCTCAGGCATAGCACCGTTTTATCCTATTGTAAGAACGATCGTCAGTGATTCAAACGAAGAGACGAGAATACATCTTATTGCGGGATTTCAAACGGTAGCGCACGTGCCCTTGAAAAAAGAATTGCAAAAGTTAACAGATTTTTGGAATTTCAAATGCACGTTGTACTTGTCTGACGAAACAAATGGTACTCAAATTTAAATGACAAAGTCGAATAAAATTGCATAAAATATCTCATAATTGTTGCAATCTTTTGTTAATTGCAAAGATGTGCGATTTAAAAAGTAAATTTAAGATATTACTCATTTCTGTTTCAGAAAAGACAATTCATATTCATGGTTTTGATGTAAAAATTGGTCTATTGACCAAATTACTTACTGCCACTCACCTTCAATCTAAGGATAGAGAAAAAACACTAGTTTTAATATGCGGAAGTCCAGAGTTCAATAACGTTATGAAACAATGGGTTCAGGAAGTTAATTATACAAATATGCATGTATTTTAACGAAACATAGATTGTCTACAAATTTAGTAAAATATAAAAACAATATTTATTTCAATAAAAAAAAAACATTTACCTATCCGACGGGACAGGATATATTTTCCTTACAATGCGGACATTTGCCATGGATAGTGCCGAAGACAACATGATTCCCGGCATTTGTCTGTAACCACTGTTGTGAAAAAAAGTCATTTATTTCTGTAAATGATTTTTTTTTAATGATTAAAAAACAATAAACAAAGATTCTACTACATATATATAAATTCTACCTTAGATAAACATGTAGAATGGAAATGCTTCATGCATTTTTCATTATTGCATATTTTGTCTGGCAATTCATCAGCGGAGAAACATATACCACACTCGTGACTGCCGATAATAGCCTTCTCGTCTTTTAAAGAGATTTCCTGCTGCGCAGGAAATTCTTGCATATCTAATAGCATCATTAAGTTTTCTAAAATACTACAATTCTCATTCCAGTTCTGTTGAAAGACATGTAAAAAACATTACGCGTATGTTACGTAAATTGCACCGCTATTACATCTCACATGTGCGTGAAACATACGTGAATATTATGTGAAACATTATCCGTCTGTTTTTTCACCTCGTTGTCACTACCTAAGAACTTGATTTCTGGCAAAGCTGTGGGATTTAACGGATTTATCGTGATTGTCACAGATATAGACTGGGACAGATGAATACGTCTGTACATGTGATTTTTAGTTGGTTTTATCGGATCAACCACCCAACAATTTCTGTAATTCATAATATGCAGATTTAGAAGATAAAAGAAAATAATAATTTAGATATTTTAATAAATTTATCTCGATAAAACCAGAGAGAGCAGTTATTGTTTCTAGAAAAAATTATTCACTATTATTTTTTATGCGAACTATCTTACTTGTCTATCTCATTTAACTGCTTCCATGCTTTTTCCAACAGTTCTACTTGCCAGATAAACTTAGTCATTGCAACACTCAAATTAGTTATATTGTTTTCGAAAGCTTGAAATGCTGGAATATCGGGCAAATCGGAAGACACAACTTTCCAAGGGATTTCAGAATTATTACATCTCTGCATTACGAGAGATACGTCTTTCAAAGAAAACTTGATGGTTCTCAAATTCTGATCACACGATAATTTCACATCCTTTAACATACAGTAAACATTAAATAATTTATATTTACCTTAACATCACAAAACTATGTATTTCTACAGAAGACAAAATCTTAACATATAAGTGTATTACGGATGAATTCTGCAGAGCTGTTTTTAAATCCCTAAGAAGATCATTTACAGACTCAAAGTCAATTATTTGATTTTGGTTCGCATCTTGCATGTATTCCACCTAAATAAAGATACAATATTTATAATATAAAGATGAAAAAATCAACTGAGCTGCAAATCAATATCTTGCACTTACAATGACAGACTGCAGCTGTCTCAAAAATAAAGATACCGTTTGAGCAGTTTGCGTCAATTCCTTCACCTTTTGGCTGAATCCTTTCTTGCGCAGAAGAGCTATTTGTTTGCCAAATCTGACTTCGCTGTTACTAAATGATGGATAATTTGGTATTATTAGTTTCAATCTCACTCTGAAACATTGGGTATCACGTGTGACGCATTGTGAATTAGAGATGTTCAAAAATCCATGCCAGGTGACAGGTGATTCTGACACCAGTATCATCTCCGGATGCCATTCCAACATTTCTTCAAAATCAGAACTACGTCTGACTGCCATCACTACCTGCCGATTTATGAAAAATATTGAGCATTCTGTTTATTCAACCATATATTCAATTATAATTGTTATATTCAATTATATTACATCTGATCAATCAGTTACCTCGTTCAGTTTTCTCAAGTCTAAGTTTCATAGAAGTATATCTAATAAAAATATAAAATTATCATTTTCAACCACATCGCGTACTTTCAAAGATAAATCAAAGATAAATAGCGGCATAAAAAGATAAGCATGCGCAGTTGTAAACAACGAGCGTATGTGGGAATTAGGTCAACCAACTTCGATAAACCCGATTGGTCGATTAACTCAACGGAATTCACCAATCGCGAGGTCGATCGGCCAGAATAATCTAACCTAACCTGATCTGACGGGACAATAATATGCATACGTAAAATTCAGTACACAAGCGTCATTCGGAGCGTCATTGGCATCGGCCAGCGTCAGCTTCATATTTTTTTGTCGACACGCGTATTCAACCGATCGGAAAGAGATGGGACGGCGCAAGAGCAAACGAAAGCCGCCCAGCAAGAAAAAAGCCATTCAGCCGTTGGATACGCAATTCAATTGCCCGTTTTGCAATCACGAAAAGTCGTGCGAGGTTAAGATGTAAGTGTATTATACCGGCAATTCGCACGGCGAAACGTTTCCTCGCTTTAGCTTTACTTTGTGGCATCAACTTGATTTCACTTCAAATCGACGCGACCGACTTGAATGAAATTTAAACCTTGTCTGAATAATTCTGTTTTGCAATGTCAGGGATAAATCGAGAAACACAGCCAAGATCACTTGTAGAGTGTGCCTGGAGGACTTTCAAACGACGATAAATCTACTGTCGGAACCTTTAGATGTTTACAATGACTGGATAGATGCCTGTGAGAGTGCAAATTGAAACGACGTCACAAATGTTGTATATAGTAACTATAAACAAAAAACCTTTACGCGTTGGGCAAACAGACTTATCACTTCTTCAAGATTGCGACTCAAAATATCCTTTTACTTTCAATATATGCTGTACATCATGTGTTGTCAAATGTGTCCACTTCACACAACCGTGCTTTATATCAATACGCACGCACACTACATTGTCTAATAAAATATATGAGTTTGAGAAAATTGTACAAAATCCATTTGTATCATGGTCGCACTTGACCTTTAAATTGCCTCGAGAACATATTTTTCAAGAGGAATGTTTTGAAGAGAGATTCGAGAGATGTGAACAATTCCAATGGAGAAACAATTACTATTAAATATATATTGATATTATAAGTTTTAGTCATTACTTATATTTTAATACGCAATTTCTTAACGTAACGATGAACATGATGTGCAAAAGTTTATTTATAGCGATGTATATATACATGTATATATATATATTTCTTATTTCATATAAGTCTTATACGGACGCGTATATTTGTAAGTAAATTATATCTTAATAATAAAAACAAAATCTCTCAAATAAAGAATTATTGTATTTACGAGACACTGTGCATTTCTTCCCGCCATTCCCCGGTCCTGGGATTCTTCTCTCGCGTTCGATTCTCGATTCGAATTGCGCACGCATGATTTTTGGATCACGTGGAGACACGCGTCGCGGCGCATGCGTTCGTACACGTTACGAGATTCTGTCTCGGTGCAACAACCGAATTTCCCAACCTTAAAATTGTTTTTTTTTTATCGTACCGTTTTTCCACGGACGCGTCTCTTATCTTTGAAACTTGCTCCCGCGTAACAGAAGAGAAATCAAACGAATTTGTTCCTACAAGATTCCGGAAGAGTCAAAGTTCGAATTTCTCATCGAGAGTTCGATATTCCTGCGTATCAACGTCAAGTCGCATCATCACTCTGCGACAACGAGTTTGTTACGTTTCCGATCCTGGCGACGCTTTCGAATGTTTTCGAAGGTATCGGAGAGATACTGTTAGATCGGAACATCCGCGAGACGTCTGTTTCCTGGACTCGCGTGCATTTCTCGCGAACATTCGTTCGCGGAACGGATGTTGCGACGACGGTGGCGCAGCCAAGATGGCGTTCACCGAGCGGAATACGCCGTCGGGTAGGAGCAGTGCGTGAGAGAATAAAAAAATTCCGCGGGATGCCGTGACGACCACCGACGCTTAGCGCGGGGTGCACGCGTGAGGTGCGAGAATCCGGCTCCAGGGAATACGCTCGCGGAGCGTACGCGGCCAGTCTCCGGTCTTGGTTTTGGTATTAACCTAAAGTGTGTGGTGTGTGTCGGATAATCGCGGAGTGGTGTGGGTGGCGGAGCGGACTTCTGCTCGGTCATCGCTTGGCATGGAAGTAACCCGGCCGTGCCGTCGAGCCCGCTGAACGTTGAAGAGATAGACGGACACCGCGATATCGCGACCCCTCGGTTACGGGGGCAAAAACCCGTACCGACCGATCACGGCCATTGGCGTTTCGCGTGATCGCGCCGACGATCGGATGGCTGATTGTGAAAGAGCGAATGAGAGGAACGCCGGGACGCGTCTACAAAGACGGTGATTCGGACGACGGCGACGAGATTCCGTCTTGTTAAACTGTGCATTTTTAATAAACATTCTAGCCCCCGATCCCCTCTTTACTCCCCCCCGAGCTCGCGCTCTCGTCCTCTCTCTTTCCCGCCGTTGTGCTCCACACGTTTGACAGCTACTTGTCATCGTACTGTGATTAATTCTGAATATTACGCGAACTCAGTGGACGAAAAAACAAAAACAAAAAAACAAAAAAACAAAAAAAAATGTTTCGGTTCCTCTCCGGTTTCGACGTACGAGATCTCGCGTATAGATTGAATTTCCCTAATGATTACTGCGGACAATCAGATTTGGTAAGAAATCGTGAGAACGCAGTTGTTGTAGTAGATTAATAATAGAAGAGATTTTATTTTATGTCTTCTTTCATTATACGAGAAAGTTTGTTCTGAAAATTTTACATGAAACTTTCAAGTTTAGCAAACAGTTTCTTTTGTGTGTTCCCTCTTTTATCTACATTTAACAATTACTGTCTCAACGGACTTGTGTTCCAAATTTTAATAAAAAGAAATATCAAGTTAGTGCACAAGGCGAATGTCAAGTTAATTTTTACAAACACGTTTTAGTATTTGTAGAAAAATTTATATTTAATTAGTTGAAACTTTTTATTATGTTTTCTCTGACAATGTTTGAGTATATTTTATATCTGCACACAGATTTTGATATATATACATGTAGAAATTATTTTTAAGCTTATTTGGCATTCCATTGCTTTAAGAAATCGGTTTCATCACTTGCTTGAGTATAAAAGAAACAATATGTACACACACACATATATATATATACATGTTGTATTCCAGAAAAGGAAACATTGAATGAAAATAGAATGAAAAGTTAAACTATGTGAAAATTGCCCAAGCAGACAATAGTTTGTGTTTGTAAGAGACATTCCATAATATTGATATGCTCTATCAGTAAGATAGACGTTTTGTGATTTTTGACTGAGCGCATCATGTCCAATAGTCTTGACAGCTTTTTGACGCGCATAGGGGATGTCACGATCGAACGTGTGACACCTCGAGGTGGTCCAAAGCCTAGTGAAACAAATCTAATGACAAATGAGACTGCAACCAGTGCGAACATGAGCGCAGAACCACAGGCGACGAACGACGAGAGTTCAGACGAATCAAGCGGCGAAACGACAGACGGAGAGCAAGAAAAGAAACTCGACGCAATGCAGTCCGAGGAAATAGAAGAGATACGTTCCGAGGGTTCGGGAGACGACATGGATCTGGACGAAACGATTGACTCGCAGATTGGCGTGAGAGTGGAGTCCGAGAGGCAGCAGCATCATTCCTTGCAAGAGGAAGATGACGAGGAGCAAGTAAACATATTGGACACTTTGCCCTTGGAAGGTTTGTAAAAGTAATATTGAAACGTGCAAAATGTATACGCACTGCACTTATGTGTATTGTGTTTTTTTTTCTAAATGTATACTGAGTCTAAAATAAAATTTTTATTTGTCGATACAATTTTATTAAATTATTTTTCATATATAATAATAATACGATAATATAATTTTTGATCAAAAACTATTCCAAGTAATGTGTTGTTAATTTTTTTAATGTACACTGAAAAGTGTGAGTTTATATCGTTTTTTTTGTAATCTTCTTCAATATAAAAATAAATTTTTATATAATTAATAAATTATAATTAATTTTTAATGCATTTATATTACAATAATTTAATAAGTGTGCTCTCTTATTATTGTTAAAAAAAGGAGCACCTATAGAAGGCCAAGAAGTGTCCGAGGCCGACTTATTAGGAAAGCCGATATCGAAAGATTCGGAAGATGAGGAAAGCATGGATAACGAGAATGAAAAGACGGACGGACAGTCCGCCAGTGAAGAGGGCGATAGTAACAAGAGACACACTGATTCCGAGCATCCTGATAATGCGAAGAAGAAGGTGAAGAAGGAAGACAGCACCAGTGACGGCGGCACGTCAGAGTGCGAGTTGAAGTCGGAAAAGAAACTGGCCAACATGCGAAGAAACATTCGGGAAGTGATGGACGAGGCGCAGCTGGATGAGGCTACACTATCCGCCCAGAGACAGGAAATGGAACGTCTCAGACGTGTGCAGGAGCAGCAGAGGATTATTCGCGAAGTGCAGCGTCAAATGGCGATCAATCGGCAGAATAACAAAGCGCAGACACGCGTTATCAGTCTGTTGCACGGCAAGCAACATCAGTCTGGCACCACTATGATCTCACAGTCTTCCCCGTCGTCGTCCCTATCGTCGACGGCGTCGTCAACTCAAGTACGTTTACCGAATACCGTACTACTGAAAGTGAATTCCGGTGCCACCACCGGTGCTCAAACCAGTCAGATCGCCAGCGGGATGCAAGCGGGACAGATGCAGAGACGATCGGTGGACAGTGGGATGCGCTGGCAAAAAGGTCGAGGTGGTTACCAGGGCGCGCAAACGTCTATCTCTCGCATTCCGAATCGCTCGAGCGCACCTAACATACTGCAGCATGCCGCGAAGTTTCGCATGATGACACCGTCCGTGAGCATATCGCCGGTAATGCCTAAGAAAGAATTCGTAGACTACCGGGAGAGAGCTGGTCGAGGAACAGAATACTATTCTGATTCTGAAATATCCGACGTGGAAGCAGAAGAAACGATGCGCACTGAGAAACAGATGCACATGATGCGGAAGACGCCGAGTATACCGAAGAGATATCGAGAGACCAAGGGCAAAGACGTGGTGACGATATCCAGCTCGAGCGAAAGCTCCGACGATGATTGTATCGTCTTGAGCGATCCCAGCGGCGAAGAAGAGACAGACAACGAAGATGATCCATCCAATTCTGGTATGCACACAAACGATCGTTACAACGTTCCAGACGAGCACGGTCGAGTACTGATCAATGTCGGTCATCCCGAGAACGAGCCGGACGTGTATCTGGCACCGCAGGTAGCTCGCATCATCAAGCCGCATCAGATTGGCGGAATACGGTTTCTTTTCGACAACATCATCGAGACCATTGAGAGGTATGACACCAGTAGCGGCTTTGGCTGTATTCTTGCTCACAGCATGGGTCTGGGTAAAACTCTTCAGATCGCCAGCTTCTGCGACGTTTTTTTTCGATGCACCACTGCCAAGACTGTTCTTTGTATCATGCCTATAAACACGCTGCAAAACTGGTTGGCAGAATTCAATATGTGGTTGCCGTATGAAGATCCCACCATTACCGCTGAGAAACAATCTAAAATGACGAATGTCAAAGTAGAGAACGGGACGGATATAAAGCATGAAGTGAAAGAGGAAGGTTGCAGTAGTCAGAGCGACATGTCCAACATGTCGCGACCTATCAGCACGGAATCCGCGCACCGTTTTGGCCAGGACGTCGCCGTCGGCGCGACGCAACAATCGATGAATCCGATTATGCCAGAGAATCCGTACGCAAATACTCATCACGGTTATGAACCGCGCAACATGATGCCAAATCCTTACATGCAAGATCCTGCTATGATGAATAAAAGCATGACCGAGCCACACGCACCGCACATGCCGCCAAGTTATCATCCAGGTGAAATGCCGCAGAATCCTTTATACAACGCAAATCCGAATCCGCTTTCCAGTTTTTCCGATCCGATGAAACCGGACCCGATGAACTGCCACGGCATGCCACCCGGACAGAACATGACGACGCCAAAATACGAAATGGAGAACCAAACTGGCGTTATGTACCCTCATATGGAGAACCGATCACAGGGCAGTTCCATGTATCCCGACATGGACAATCGAAATGTTGCGGCTATGTATCCAGGTATGGGCAATCATCATCCTGCTCCAATGTATTCTGCTCCAATGTATCCAACCAACAATCCTGGCAATTTTGCGAATTATGGCGGTCAGACTAAGCAAGAACCAGAACAAGAGCCGAAGAAAGAAAATCTGCTGGGAGGAATGCCACCTCAGAGCACAGAAATCAATGTGAAGAAAGAACCAGAAGAGGCAACAATTAAAAACGAGGAAGGAACGTCGACGAAGGAGGAGTTAGCAGAAGAGAAGAAGGAAACGATAAAGACACCGTACAGTGTAGATGCTCCCATCGGCATGGAAGTACGCCCGAGGCATTTCCGTTTGCATATCTTAAACGACTCGCATAAAACTATGACGGCGAGAGCGAAAGTGATCCAAGAATGGCAATCGACCGGTGGTGTTTTGCTCATAGGTTATGAGCTGTACAGGCAGTTGTCTTTGAAAAAACCTAATAAGGCGAAGCGAAAACGCGGTCAACCCTTCAAGGACACGGTGGACGTGGAAGAAGAAGATAAGAACAAAGGTTTGCTAGACGAGATGCATACGGCCTTGGTGAATCCCGGACCAGATCTGGTGATTTGCGACGAAGGTCATCGGATTAAAAACTCACATGCCAGCATCAGCATGGCGTTGAAACAAATGCGCACAAAACGCAGAATTGTATTGACTGGTTACCCGTTGCAGAATAATCTTCTGGAATATTGGTGTATGGTCGACTTCGTGAGACCAAACTATCTAGGCACCAAAAGCGAATTTTGCAACATGTTCGAGAGACCGATACAGAACGGCCAGTGTATCGATTCTACGCCGCAGGATATACGATTAATGCGATATCGCGCGCATGTTTTGCATGCGCTGCTGGAAGGTTTCGTGCAGAGAAGATCTCACTCCGTGTTGCAGACCTCGTTACCGCGCAAGGAGGAGTACATCCTTCTTGTTCGGATGACGGCTCATCAACGCAAACTATACGACACGTTTATGAACCAGGTGGTGAAGACGCGCGCGGTACCGAATCCGTTGAAAGCATTTGCCGTGTGCTGCAAAATTTGGAACCATCCGGACATTCTGTACCATTTTCTGCGCAAACGTCAAGCGAACGAGGAAGATGACTTGGATTTGGAGGAAACGATCGGCGAAAAACCTGCGGCTGGAGGGAAGAGATCAAAAGCACGCCAGCCGAAAGGAGAGTCCAAAAAGAGCAAGAAGGCTAACTCAACTATCAAGAACAAACCTGCAGCTAGCGTGCAACCAAACGCTTCCTCGTCGTCCAGCAACGATAACGTGGAAGCCGAAAACACGCACAATACTCCAAAACAGAATAACAATTATACTAACAACTATTCGATGCCAGCTTCCAACTCAGGATATTCCAATTCCATGCCTCAAGGATCTTATCCTCCCACTCACGGTTATCAAAATTACCGGCCAAACGAACAAAACGCGTATTACAGGAATGATAATAACAATCATGGAGAATACAATCACGGAGAGTTCTATAACAATCAGGGACAGCAGAGATATGGAAATCAACCGTTTCAATCGTACAGTCAGCCGTCGAATTACAACGCGTCGCAGGGATACGTCAATCAGTCGCAGAACTACATGCAGCCGAACGAGCAGTCTGCAAATCATTCTCAAAGATACAGCGGCGCAGCAGCTGGATCTGATTTTAGATCGGATCAAAGTCAAGGCAACAATTACGAAACACCCGGAATGTTTCCACGGCAGAACTATCCGTATCAGGAACAGCAGCGCAATTACACGCCGAATATGAACCAAGGGCCTAGCAATTATCCTCAAGTTCCTAATCAACCGTCTTTCCAAACTCAGATGACGAATCAGTCCGCGAACATGCCAATGCCGGATTATTCGTCGTACACTTCTAATCAAAATCAAAACTACGCTCCAGCACCGGTTCAGACGAATTCGATGTATCCGCGAAACGACGCACAACCGATGCAGAATTCGACGATGGGATACTCCGCACCCCAGCAAGCTCAACCTCCCACAGCGCAAGCTCAGCCTACCGGTTACATGCCATCTCAACAAAATCAAAATTCGTCCCCTGGTCAGACTCGAGGCTTTTCACCGAACCAACAGAATCAAAATCTGGCTCTTCAGAATCAATCTCATTCGTACACTGGTCAACCACCCTCGAATGTACCTCTTCAGGGTCAAACGCACGGTTATTCGACGCAGATAAACCCAACTCCGCCACAAACTCCACATGCATTTAATCAGCAATCGGCCCCGATGTCACAAGGACCTACTCACGGTTACATGCAGCCGAATCAGCCAAGTCAGGGACCCATGTCGCAAGGTAGTATGCGCGGTTACGGCTCGGCGCCGCAAGGTCAGTTGAGTATGGCACAAAATCAGCCTAATTATCCAGCTAATCAACCCGCACAGAATGTCAATGCACAAAATCAGACACACAGATATCCGGATCAGCAAAGTTCGGGATCAAATCCGCAAAATGCAATTCATGGATACGGTGCTCATCATATGGTGTCGCAGCAGGCAGCTACCAATCAAGCAACTTCGTATGCTCAACAGAATCAGCAAGGACCGACGACACAACAGTCCAACCAGACTCATCCTGGTTATTCGTCGAACCCTCATCCAGGCCCAGTGCCTCAGACTCCTGCACATCGATACGGCACCGCGCAGCAAACGCAAGTTCAGAATCAGTCCATGGCGTATCCACAAAATCAGCAGCAATCGAATCCGTCACTGGGTCAGAACGATCAGCAGCACTATTCAAGATCGGACGCCGCAGTACCACAGCAAACACAAGGGTATACTCCGACCGCCAACGAATTCTCGAGCGATCGTTCGGGCGGAAGTACCGCTAGCAATTCCGGCAACAATTATTCCACGAACCAATCACAAGCGCCGAATCCGGTTATGCCGAACTACCCGTCGGACAATTCACATCAGAATCCGACAGTGGTCGGACAGATGAAAAACGCGGAAGAGCAGCCGTACTGGCAACGTAGTTATCCGCAGACGTTCCGGCCGGATCAACAGTGCAACGACTCGTACTATCGGGATCAGATGAATTCGAACGTGAATCGTTATCAGAACAACTACTTCCCGCCGCAAAATTATTCCAATCAATCGTACGACTACGCGACCACCGGCCACGGTACGGACATGAACTCGCGACCTGACGAGTCCAAGAATTCTCAGCAGTCGGGAACTCATCCTGCCGGCACGCCGTGCGAAAAGAATAACAAAGACATGACGTCCAGCATCGGTGTGCAGAGCCAACCGATGCATCAGAATAATCTCACTGGCGCGCCGAATTATACTGCGGAATCGAATCGTCAAAATTCATCAACTCCCGCGCCCAGATCGGGACAGGGAATCAATTCGGCTCACAGTCCTCGATTAAATCAGAGTGAAATGTCGAAAGAGGACGAGCGAGAGAAAGAGGACCAACAGGATAAGGATAAAGAAGACAAATCAGATGATGAGATTCTTGCGAAGGATGAGGAGAAGGATTGCAAGAGTTCGCCTATCGGAAAGGACGATCCCGGAATCCCATACGATTGGGTACGTTAACGTAAATTACAGTAGAGAGCGATATAGTACGTATAAAGTTTGATCTTAATAGATTATATTAGTCCGACAGAATATAATTTTACGTCGAGTGTTTTTAATGTTACAGGCGACAGAATTGATGAAAGGTTACGTTCCCGGTTTGATAGACGCGTCTGGGAAGATGACACTTTTTTTCTGCATACTCGAAGAGGCTATTCAATTGGGAGATCGCGTGCTTGCGTTCTCGCAATCGCTGTTTACCTTGAATCTCATAGAGGATTTCTTAGGGCGAAATAATTTCAAGTATCCGAACGGACAGACGGACACTTGGATCAAGAACGTGAATTATTACAGATTGGACGGGAGTACCAGCGCTTTGGAACGAGAGAAATTGATCAACGAGTTTAACAACAATCCAAAGATCCATCTGTTTCTCGTGTCAACACGCGCCGGCTCGCTGGGCATCAATCTCGTAGGCGCGAATCGCGCGATCGTATTCGACGCTTCTTGGAATCCCTGTCACGATACACAAGCGGTGTGCAGAGTGTATAGATACGGTCAGCAGAAGCCGTGCTTTGTTTATCGATTGGTCACCGATAACTGTCTGGAGAGAAAGATTTACGATCGACAGATTAGCAAGCAAGGCATGGCGGACCGCGTGGTCGATCAGTGTAATCCGGACGCACACCTTTCATTAAAAGAAGCAACGACGCTGTCGTGGGACTGGGAAGAGGACAGTCAGGTGCAGGATTTCTCACAGGCCAAAGACAACTACACGGATGAGGTAATGCATTGCGTGCTGGAACGTCACTCCTCGTTGCTCACCAAAGAGCCGTTCCATCACGAAAGTTTGCTGGTTGATCGGAAAGATAAGAAACTCAGTCAAGCCGAGAAGCGACTAGCTCGTCGTGGCTACGAGCTCGAGAAGATGGCAGCTAATTGTTCAAGACCGAGTTATAATTACGTTCCAGGAAACACAGCTACGCGAGGTAATAATACTTTTTATTCAACAACACGAGGGTGTAATTAGGCGCCGTAATTGCGTACTGTATAATTATTTATTTCAGCAGGCGGATTACAAATCAGAGCAATTCGCGGTGGTGACGGAGGTCCCACGCCGAAACCCGTCGCATCCGTGAGACCGATGCAACAGCGAGGCGCTGAAGGATTAAATCCGCGAGGTGTAACTGGTAGCAGATGGATTCCGGCGGAAGTGTGGCAGAGACAAGGAATGAGCGCGCAAGAGATGACGCTTCCCTTAGATGTTGTTATCCCAACAAATTCCCCAGACAAAGGAAGTATAGTTTTAAAAGCGGGTCAACGGGTAATGGTACTGAAGAGCCCGAAAGGCATCTACATGCAGCTCGAATCCGGTAAAATTATAGCGATTCGCACAGCGCTGAAATTAAATCAACAAAAACGAGAAGAGGAACAGCCGAAGAAGGGTAAGTTGTCATTGATTTAATTTTGTCATATTTTGAAGCATTCTGTTAATCAAAAATTCATTTTGCAATTTGCAGGCATTTCTTCGATGGTACAAAGAAATTCCAAGCCAGAAGTTGGCTTCCCCTTGCGAAATAATTCCGCCATTTCCATAATACCCAAATCATCCTCTAGTAATCAGACCAGTGGCCGACCTTTCAACAAATCATCACCAGGTCCCGGTTACAAACCGTTTGGCGAGAAAGAAATCTCCAAAAGACCCAAGCCAGTTGCTACAGCGACTGCGAAACCGTATCTGAGTCAGGTGAACTTGACCAGTCAGGTTTCTCTATCGAGACTACCAAAGATCAAGCAAGAGCCGGTGGATCATTCTACGATAGGAGACAACTCGAACTCATCGGACGGTCAAGTGAGAACTGAGCAACGTGTCGAGGAAGTTAGATTGGAGGATGTGGTGGCCGAAGTGAGCTCGAATACCGAATATAGTCCACCTAATCACAACCGAACCACTAATTTATCCGAATTGGTCCGAACCACCAATTCGGACGCGGATACGTCTCTACCAAAATCTTCCGAGGAGAGCACTCAGGTGTACACCTCCGATACCATCTCCTTAGCGCAAGGCGTTCAAACAACGCAACACGATCAATCAGAATCGGAATTACCGCCAACCGCTGACAAGCAGCGTTTACCACCAGAAAAAGAGCCTTCTTCTAAGTCAGACATTCTACCAACTTACGGTCGAACTTTCCACACCCAAACGGAAAAACGAGACACTTCGAACGACGACATTATCATCGAGGAACCTCCGCAGATAACGCCTCAGGTAACGTCACAAGTAACATCGCAAGTAACGTCGCAAGTAACATCGCAGGTGACACCACAAGTTGCCACACAGACTCACGTGGCAGTTCCCGAAAGGATGTCGTCTTTGTTGACACCACAACCGATGCCGTCAGCCATGCCGGTACCACCGAGTTTGTCGGTACCATCGAGCATGCCGTCCAGTACGCCAGTGTCATCGAGCATGCCGTCTAATATGGTGATACCATCGAGCATGCAATCTAGTGTACCGATATCGACGAATGTACAGTCAAATATGCCGATACCATCGAACATACCGACGAACATGTCAATACCGTCATCAAATATACCGTCGAATATGCCGATACCATCGAGCATACCGTCAAATATGCCGATATCGTCGAGCATATCGTCGAATATGCCGGTATCGTCAAGCATACCGACAAGTATGACGGTATCGTCGAACATGCCACTGCCATCGAGCATGCCGATACCGTCGTCTATGCCAATGCCAACGAATATGCCGATGCCTTCGAACATGCCATCGAGCATATCGGTACCGTCCGCACCTGTAAGAGTTCCGGAGACGACTAAGAGTGTTGATTCGCCTATCGTCGCATCATCAACCGCTTCCGTGTGCACTAGCACCAATATCACTTCTCCAAAGAGCACCGAGCTGATCCCAAGCGTACGGGACAATATGGTTCAAGGTGACCCGACGCCGAGTGTTCCCCAAGGATATCCCTACGCTCAGTATCCGAGGTACTACGATTACGGCGACCCACGATCCCGCTCGCTGTCCAATCCTTACGGCACTTATTTCCCCGGTGTTCCGCCACATACGGCGAATCCCAGCAATAGACTGCCAGCAGTAGACACGACAAAACCTCAACCGGATCTGGGAAAGCCTATCGACGAGAGAAGCGTGATGAACGTGCCTACCGCATATTCTTCTCAAGTACCGAGTATTACTGCCAAAACGTTAACGAGCAGCTCCACGACGGAGTCTAAGAGTGCGGACGCCGCAACGGTGACCACGGTGGCCTCCTCGAGCAGGGACGAGACTTCGCACATACCCACCGCATTTAGTCATCCTACCAGCACGCGATATGGTCCGGGGCCATATCCGCCGGGTCCGTACGATCCGTACTCGCAACACTATCCGGCGCCTGGGTCTTCCGCAGCTTACCCCCCAGGTGAGTCTTACATTCGCAAGTAAGATAAAATAAGAGATTTTTTAATTATGTTCTCACATGTATATTCTAGTTTAATTTATCATTTTTAATTTTTTTCTTAAGGAAAAAACTTGTTTTTATGTAACGTCACGTTGCTAGCAAAATATTGAGAAAAATCAAATGTTCAAGTAATGAAATTTAAATTTGCACAGGAGCACCCGCATATCCAGCATACGGTGGACCGAGCTACAACGCGGATTACGCTCGCATGTACTCAGCGTTCCACGGACCGCCGCCGCCGACGGATCCCTACATGCATCGAGGATACGCCCCTCCCTCATCGCATCCTCCGAATTATTACTCACCGTTCCCGCATCCTCCGCCACCTTATCCCAACTATTCTTTTCTGCCGTACCCGAACCCCAATATGACCAGTGAGCCGCAACCACCCGCTCAATAGGAAAATAATACAAACACGGCCAGGAGGCTAACTTCTAGTGATCGCGTCAGAAAGTCAACGTGAGAACTCGAACGCTGGTAAAACGCCGTGTTTTAAAACACAGACTGAAAGTCGCAAAACGCGTTTGATGTACATAATTAGTCACAGGATAATTGAAATATTAAGAAGATATTTGTGAGATCGCAGCTACCGGAAGTATCGCGGTTACGTATCAAGAAGGAAAGAGAGAGAGAGAGAGAGAGAAAGAGAAAGAGAGCGAACGAGCGCGATCGCTGTCAATATTATAATTGAACTGTGCAATCTGTTGAAATGTTCGGAAATACTTTTATCTCTTAACTGTCAACGTCGTTCTTGCGATGCATTGTTCATTAGTTAAGTCTTAAATAGAGAGAATTGTGCTCGTTGTGCGCGCGAAAGGTGGTGCAAGTTTTTACTCCTTTGATCTTCCAGTCTCATAACAGCGACGCGTCTTCAAGAGAGACTTTTTTACAAACGCTTAGGCTACGTGATTTAGATTGTAATATGTTCGCATTGCCGAGACGTTGGTCTTACGTTCCTCGCAACTTTTTCTACTTTTTGTACTTGCGCGGTGTTTTTTGCGCCGAAATATATAGTCTTTCGCCAAAATAGCCTCTTTAAACATTGGAGAGCTGATGAATGAGTTTAGGATTGTTCTACAATACAGTCGTAAGAAATTGACCAATCACAATCGATAATATTCTTATGTGATTTGTTTGTGATTGATCGATTTCTTACGACTTACAGCTTACGACTGTATTGTAGAACAGGTCTTATCACGACCGGCCGCAAATGAGATGATTCTGGCGGGATTGAAGGAGAGCGCAAATTGCACCATCCGTCGTATATGTCCGAGAAAAGAGAAAAAAAGAACGCTGTCTATACTACTATCATTTTTAGCTTCACGTGTTACATTCGATCACTCTCTCAGCTTATTTTTATATAGTCTAATATAACGAAGAGGGGGGAAGGTCATTTCGGCGAGAATAAAAACTCTCTCTTTGATCGGGAGAATTACTGACACTGTCCATGACGGGCGTTTATTTTCATCTCACACTTTCAGAACAAAGAGAGTTGAAGAAGAGATACGACGACGCAAACTTTTCGGAGAAAGAAAAGCTTTTTATTTGTGCGATTTGAAACGACGAAAATGTTTTGATTTAATTAATTCGTTTCAGCCACACGACGAAACGCGCGTGTTGTGTATCTGAAAGACTCTCGTGTCTTACTGATAAATAAATAAATCAAATTTGAAAATGTTCTCTTCCATGACAAATTTTACCAAATGAAACGATTTACGTAATAATATGACTTAATCCCCCCTCCGAACGATAATACGGCAAGAGTGGATGGATATTTGCAAGCTGTGCGCACACACAAAGACCGCTGATATATTTACTCTAAATACGAAAACACAATTGTGTTAATTATAAATCCATATGCATCCATGAACTTCTCCTCTCTCTGCAGTAGAATCCATCGACTGTCTTATTATCTTTGTTTTTTTTTTTTTTTTTTTTTTTTTTTTTTTTTTTAATCTACCGTGTAGCGAAGAAAGCTGTAGCACATGTGAGATTGTGCTGATTGCCACACACGACTCTCTCGCGCAAATCGTGTTGTAATGCTTATATGTGGTTTGCACTATACATCACTCTTCCGTAAATACTGGAATTTTTATAATCGTCTCGCATCATCCATCGTCTTACCTTTTTCATCTGACAAGCGCCGAAAACATCGATCGCTTAATCTTTTAGCTGTGGCGCGCGTCGTCTATATGAAATACCTTTTTCCACACGTACATTACATTTACACGCGTAAAGAAAAAAAAAAATCATACGTACAGTATTTACCTGGAACATTTAGCAGCCAGTAAACAAAAGTCTACAGCATCCCTTAGCGTGTTGTATATGGACTTACGTATTATACTATTAAATGTTACGATTTCCGAAGAAAAAAAAAATAATAAAAATAGATAATCTTACAGTAGGTAGCGTAGGTATTTGTTGTTAACTAGGAACATGTCTCTTACGATTAAAATGAAAAAAAAAAAAACAAAAAAATACAAAAAACAAGAATTTCACTACTACTCTCGGACACGTAGCGTATAAAAAAAAAACAAAAACTCTTAGGGAGAGCCATGATTTTCAGGAGCGACTCTAGAGACTCGGAACTGTGATATTTTATTATTAAAATCTATCGTGTGTCGAATTCGCGCACCGAATAATTACACTCTTTGTCTCCCGTGACGAATCGAAGTTGCCGGCCGATTTCGCGGGGAATTTCGCGAGATCGGGTCTCGGGTCGAAAAAAAAAAAAAAAAAATTCCTCGGCCTGTCCATCGCGACACTTGCGGTCGAAAATTGTTGCATTTACGTTAGTGTAAGTCAATCGGGTGCACGAGATGGTTACATAATCCATTTTTTCCAAATGGAAATACAGAGGCGCACACGAATCTATCATGGTGCTCCCTGTAAAATTACATACGGACCAGTGGTATTCAACCGCGTCCTCTTCTTCAGCGTCTCCGGCATCTCGTGATTTTTTTTACACGTGTATGTTTTTCTCTCTCATTAATTTCGTTCTTCCGCGTGCAACTTTACATGTGCATGATGAACTTTTTTATAGAATTTTTTTTATTTTACCGTATGTTAACTACGTCGCAGACCTCGTAGGCTTTTTCTCTATTTGTTTTAAGGAACTGTGTTGTGGGCGTAGAAAAATTCTGCATATTTTCATCAACTTGAGATATATATATATATATATTATATATATTATATTTTTATACTTTAGTCTTTTTTATGTATCTTCGAACATTTGATTAGAGTATGTTCTTCGTTCCAGTTCTCTCGAACACGAATCGTTTTCGACGCTCTTCCGAGAGTTCACTCCAGGTTGAATACCTCTGATTTATAGACGAATTCTAGCGAGATAAGCGTTCACATGCTAGATATACAATTAATAATACCCGTGTATCTTCGTGACGGATCTCGTTGTCGTCTGTTCATCGCACAGAGAAACGCGTTATTTTTCCTCCCCCTTTTTCCTTCCCTCCCGTTTACTTGCGACACGTTGCGCTCACACGTTTCATAGGTTCTAAGTGTACAGATACATAATTTTTAGCGCAACACATTCAAGTAAAGCCGCGGTGCAATCCTCTCGAACGAACAGGCGACAAAGAGTCCGTCGCGCAAAAAAAAATGTGCGCGCGAACTGTCGGTTCTGAAAGCGCGTCACGAGGTCGCAAAGTTCAAAATGAAAACACATATTCACATTCCGTGTTTGCCGCCGTGGCGTCTTGTTGAGTTTGAATTTTACGTAGCTATTAGATTCGTGTTTGATGGTATCGTACTGTAATGTTATACATACGGACTGCAGGCAGACACAGTGCAAATGCAGTGTTTTAATTTTTTTTCTTTTTTAATGCATTTCGCAAATGCTGTTAGTTGATGGTGCTGTAAAGAATTTTACATCGCGTTACGTTGAATCATTCTCCGCGCATGGATTGTGGATATGTTTTGATTGAAACAAAAAGCCGAATATACATATACGAGCCAATTGGCTCCAGATTCAGACAAGATGTGAACGGAGAGATTGATATTTAGGAAAGTTGAGAAAAATATGTGTTTCACGTTACAACTTTTCGACTTGCGCCACTTTCAGAACGGAACCGTTCATATATTTGAGAAAGGGAAAGCAATTATTTTGTTTCTGTTGTATCTTTTATTATTTTTTTTCCCATTTACATACTTGTAAATACCCATTCTTTACGAATCATTCTCTATTTATTATTATACATTAGCGCAAATATCGCTTTTGTTTTCAGCATCAAAAAATATTGCCTTTATGTAAAATTAATTGTTTACACACACACACACACACACACATACACACACACCGATGACAGAGAGCGAGAGAGAGAGAAAGAGAGAGAGGGAGAAGATAATTGTTTTGATCATATAATTGTTGCATATATATGTCGAACACAAGAAAAAGAAGAATGAAGAATGAGAGAAATTATAGGTTTAGTTTTTTTTTATAACAATATATATATATATATATATATTCATTTTTTTACAATATTCGACCAAAACAGAAATTAGCTCATAGCTCTGTAGTTTTGCCGTACATTTATCGTTAGACATATGGCACATTATGTCAGTTCTATTCTTTTCTTCTTTTTTTTTTTTTTTTTTTTTTACAAATTTTATGTTTTTATCGTAAGTTTTCTACAAACCGTGCTGTATTGGTGTATGCGAGAAGATACGATGAGCTAATTATAAATAATGAAATAAAAGTATTCGATATTATAAATGGGCTTAGTTTTTGTTGCGACTGATAATTTCTGAGATTTCTTACACATGTTGTAATAATAAACATAATATGTGTATGTATATTTTTATTTTATTTAAAAAAAATGTGAACAAAATTATAGATATATATATTATATACATTTTAAATTAACAAAAAAACATCTTAAATCATGTAGAGCTTGCATATCTGTAATATTGAATAATAATCTGTAATATGAATAATAATTTTTCGAAAAAATTATTATTCTGTAATAAATGTAAATAAATGTTATTAGATATTTTTTAACATAAATAAAGTGTGTAAGTTCTAAAATATGTAAATTTCAACATTAAAAAGAATAAAGTGTGTGTTGGCAGATTATACCGAAGGCTCACTGCGCGCGCTATTAGAATAATTAGATTAAATAACTTCGGCATCGATTCATTTCAGATTTTTAAACAGCCTGATCAAAGAGATGATTCGATAAAAGATTTCGTTGCAATTTTGACAAATACGACATTCACCAGTGACCTGTGGAGGGAATAAACAATTCATATATTGCATCTGAGGAAAAAATGACTTCAGAAAGATGTATTAAGTATCTGGTGCTAGTCATTGTGGGCGCTTTTCAGCTACATACACAGGCGACACTTTGTTGCACATTGTAGCCTGTGTACGTAGCTGGAAAGCACCCTGTGTATTTACAGAGAGAGAAGACTGAGAGCGGCCAGGACCATATATAAAAACCTGTAATAGCTTTTCCGACCTGTAAGTTAACGCTATGTCCATGGATGTACATATAAGAACCGCATGATGTGGACATAGCACGAAATAGAACCATATCCACGTGCGAACATAACGTATATACCGACAAGTTTTTTGTGGACATGGCTACGTAGTTGCTAATGTGCACCATCTATGGACATAGCGCTGGCGAACAGGACAGAAAAGATAATCTGGAGCCGCTCTAAAGTTTCTGTCAATTTACCTAACCCTGCCTAACCTAACCTCTAAAAATTTCGGAGCAGTCACATGGTAACACGCATGTCGCATTCGTGAAAGGAGAGTGCATTCACTTTCACGGCGAATGATTATCAAGCGCTGTTTGCATCATATCGCGCGTAGGTTAGCGGCGCACCATCTAACCTGCAACGTTCCGCTCGCAAAACCACTTGTCAAAAGCGTCGCGACCACCGCCAACCTTCTTGATTTCAGTCGGTGGGGTACGAAGAAAAAGAACAGAAAACTAAAAATCTCCCTTGCGCTCGATATGGCAGATCCGAAGATCGAGGAAGTCTTGGCACCGCTTCGCGTCAGTGTCAAGGAACAAGTGAGTGCCATATGGATCGTGTGATTTATGAGAGATTCTGAAATGATCAGAATGTTGTCTGCTTTTATAAGTTGAATTAATATAAATATTTTGAACACAAAATGTGTAAATGTAATAAATCGTATATTTTTCACGAAATGTGAGACTAACTGTAAATTGTGTTTATTACAGGGTGACTACGTACGAAAACTAAAGTCTGATGGCGCTCCGGAATTGGATATCAAAAAGGCTGTTGCGGAATTGAAGCTACGCAAAAAAGTATTGGAGGACAAGGAGCTCTCGCTTGCTTCCAACAATATAACATTTGACAGAGCGAGAATGGAAGATCTTTTGAAGCGTAGATTTTACTTGGATCAATCTTTTGCGATTTACGGAGGTATCACTGGTCAGTACGACTTTGGACCGATGGGCTGTTCATTGAAAACAAACTTGCTGAATGCCTGGAGAAACTTCTTCGTGCTGGAGGAGCAAATGTTGGAAGTTGATTGTTCCATCTTGACACCAGAGCCTGTGCTCAAAACGTCTGGTCACGTGGAACGATTTGCTGATTTGATGGTTAAGGATGTGAAGACCGGCGAATGCTTCCGGTTGGATCATCTGATCAAAGCGCACTTGGAAAAACTAATCTGCGACAAGAAGACGGACGAAAGAACCCGCGAGGAGTGCAGAGACATTATAATCAAGTTGGATGGTATGACGAAGGATGAGATGGCCACGATTTTGTCGAAGTACAACATGAAATCGCCCGTTTCTGGTAACGATTTGACAGAACCGATAGAATTTAATCTGATGTTCGGCACGCAGATCGGCCCGACCGGACTCATCAAGGGTTTTTTGAGACCGGAAACGGCTCAAGGTATCTTCGTGAATTTCAAGAGATTGCTCGCGTTCAATCAGGAACGACTACCGTTTGCTGCAGCGCAGATTGGCAATGCTTTCAGGAACGAGATTTCACCGCGATCCGGACTCATACGCGTGCGAGAGTTCACCATGGCGGAGATAGAACATTTCTGCGATCCGAGCGATAAGAGTCATTCTAAGTTCGAGCAAGTCAAAGATATCAACATGCTACTGTATTCGGCGTGCAATCAGATGGATGGTAAGAGCGCTCAGCGAATCACTATCGGTGAAGCCGTCTCGTCTGGGTTGGTGGCGAACGAGACACTGGGATACTTCATGGCTAGGATTCACCAGTTCTTGCTGAAGGTCGGCATTGACTCGAATCGCCTACGCTTCCGTCAACATATGAACAACGAAATGGCGCATTACGCCTGCGATTGCTGGGACGCCGAGTGCCTGACCTCGTATGGGTGGATCGAGTGCGTGGGTTGCGCCGACCGGTCCGCTTACGACTTAACGCAGCACACCAAGGCAACTGGTGTGAAGCTGGTGGCAGAGAAGAAATTACCCGCTCCGAAAACGGTGGATGTTTGCGAGATCGTGCCGAACAAGGTGCTGATCGGCAAGACGTTTAAGAAAGACAGCAAAGCTGTTCAAGATGCATTGGCGGCATTAAGCAAAGACGAGATCGAGTCCTTGGAAAAAACTCTAGAAGAGTATGGCAGTCGCGAGCTGACGCTGTTCAACGAGACTGTCGCGAACATCACCAAGGATATGATAGAGGTAAAACGTTACCAAAAGACCGTTCATGTGGAGGAAATTATACCTTCGGTGATCGAACCCTCCTTTGGCATCGGTCGTATCATGTACGCTCTGTTCGAGCACAATTTCAAGGCGAGAGAGGGTGACGAAAAGAGAACGTACTTTGCTTTGCCGCCAGTAATAGCGCCGTTGAAGTGTTCGGTGCTACCTCTTAGCGGTAACGACGAATTTGTACCTTTTGTAAAGAAACTATGTAAGTAAAAAAAATTATCTAAATATTAAATGTCACTGATGCGTCTAGATAAGAGGATCAACTTCTTTTTTGATTTCCAGTTTCTACGATCGAAAACGCAAAGATAATGAAGCTATATATGTTGTAAACTCGGTTAATAATGATCAAATGTTAATTTAATGTTTTACAGCACAAAATCTTACAAGAGCGGACGTATCGCACAAAGTAGACGATTCCTCCGGCAGTATCGGACGCAGATACGCTCGCACTGACGAAATAGCGATACCGTTTGGCATTACTATCGATTTCGACACACTGAAGACGCCGCACAGCGCTACGCTCAGGGACAGAGATAGCATGGGACAAGTCAGAATAAACGTACGTATTTATTTTTATTTGAATGGAAATGATCAAAGTCTAAGTTGTTTTTTTAGATTATTGTTTGTAACGTGATAATTGTTTATAGTTGGACGAGTTGCCTGGTGTTGTGAGAGATCTTTCTTATGGAAAAATCACTTGGGCGGAAGTAGAAGCAAAGTATCCCAAGTTCGAACAACAAGAATCGACAGAATCTTAGGAAATATTGATAGGTATTTGAATAATTTATTTGTAACATATATATAGACGTGTGAGAAATGTTTATATAAGCGCAAGTGTTTTATACGTTTAATCTCAAGATGCCTGTATCTAGTAAATATGACAGATAAGTGCTACTTCTCATTTCGACAGTTTATCGATCACAATCAAGTCACTTGCATTTTTCGAAGGCATTTATTATGTATTATATACATACGTACTATTATGTGTAAGAACCTTTATGAAACATCAGATAAAAAAAAAATAAACATTTGTTTTTCATTATTTCAATATAATACTCACAGAATTGTATTTTTTCTACATTTCATTATATCATTAGAATAAATTAGAAAACAAATTATCTTGCAGTGAATATTATTTTGTGGCGTGCGACGCTACCGCGTGTCTCTCTGTAGGATATATAATATACATACGTGCCGCGCGACAATCGCGCTGCATTTTTGCGCGCTTCCGTGCGTGTCGGATCGGAAGATTTTGTTGGTGCGTAAAAGAGGAAAGAAAGAGGAGACAAAACAGAGAAAAAGAAGAAACGAGACGAGAAACGGAGAGAGCTCTTCGTGGGTGCGGACCCAATTATCCACAGTGGCTCTCGAGAACGTGAAAGAAGGACGTGTCCCCATAGGCGGCAGAAAGGACGGGGCCTCGGCATTTTTCTCCTCTCTTCCTCTTTCTCGGCGTGCCAACAACCCTCCACGCGAGGACGTGTCGAATCGATTCTCCCCGACTCGTTTACAAGTTGTTCTGCGAATGGCACTTTGCGAACTGCTGTGCGTTATTCCCGCTTACTCGCGAGCCCACGTAGGCGAGGCAGAAGTGCACCTTGTGTTTTACCGCGCGGGAGTATTATTTTTTTAATCGATCAATTCTCTCGCGAGATGAGAGAACGCAAAAAAATCCGGAAGTCACAATGATGAAATCGAAATTTTTAAAAATATTTATAGGAAATAATGTTTTTTATGCAAAAGAATTTGTCGCCTCTGGACAGGTTCATTGCGGAACCATTTAATAGATATATCGGGAGTGTTTTTTTTTTCTGAACAGACTCACTTCCGTGTGTCTCTATTTCTTGCTTCTCATTTGATTGCGATGCAAAGATTGCGTTGAATTACGGCTTGTGCCGACGACCTCGAAAATAGGTCAACGAGAAGTCCTCTATTTGCGTCGCGACAGGTCCGCTATATTCTTTTGAAATTAGTGTGCCTTAAAACAAGCAGTCATATTTTTTGTAGTTTAGTTAGAAAATACAAATATAACTTTAAAATTGGAGTGTATTGAAAACTATTACAAAGTTAAGTTTTACAAAATTAAAAAAAATTGTTTTAATTTTAAAACATTAAAAATTGTTACAGATCGGACTTTTCTTTTTTTGCGTCAACACAATCGAAAATTCCTACAAATATCAAGAGGCACGGTAGTGTCCTCTCCTCCCTGTCACGTGACTTTATTTTAGTCATGTTTTTAAAGACGTGACTAAAGTAAAGTCACGTGACTTTAATCACGTGTTGTTTTTCCTTTCCCTACTATAACGTGACTTTACTTTATATAGTTACGTTTTAAAAAAAGACACGTATAAAACAATTAACTTTTCGTTCAAGCTGATTCGCCAAACAGTTTAGAAAAGCGCGAGAGTTTCCAGACACACCTTCCCTCCGTATAACTCCCGTAGCTTTATGGTTCCCGTGAAAGGGGCTTATTGGAGCGTGGTTAAAGAGCCACGCATTTGTATAAACGAGAAACATCATTCGGCTGGGTATAACTCTCTCAAATAGTTCGTAACTCATGCCTCCCACCTTCTCTCTCTTTCGCTTGTTCGCTTTTCAGGGATTTAAATGCTTGCGCGTGGGTGAACGAGAGTCTTCTGGACGCTCGCGCGCGCGCGAGCGAGCGAGCTGGTTGTTATGGTGTGCGAAAAATCTCGCGCCGCGACTTTCCTGCTTCTCGAGTTTTAATTGGCGCCGCGTAACGCGTTTTCGCGCGACATACATTATGAGACACCGCGCACATTTATTAATTGCAAGTCCATCCATGTACAGGGCGATCAGCGGGATTGCAAGCAGAATATATTCATCGAATCGTGTAATCTTACTAACGATTTTGTTACATTTTATTATTTAATTGTATTAAGTTTCAATACGCACGTCACAACTGTTTTGAGAAATTGTCGTGAACCGCGACTGAATTTCTTAAATTAATTTCTTGCGCCCTCGATACGCACTTGTAAAGAGCTTGATAAAAGATTTCTCTCGGTGCACCCGATGTACATTAATGCGCGGCTGGAGAGATTTTCCCTTGCACTTGTATTCGCGCTTGTCCCGGGTTTTAATTGCGTCGCGTTAATGCATTCATACAACACGTTACGAGACGGTGCGCGCATTAGTAAGCTTCTAATTGGTCACCTTAAAGCGAAAATTAGTCCGTAGCGGAAAAATATATTTGTCGGTGCTAGCGCGGAATGATGTCTTAAATAAAGTTCTCTCGAATGCCACATCTTTTCGATTTCCTTCAACCATCGAAATTACAATTTGATTGGTCGCTCAACGTTTCACATTTTTATGAAAGAAACTTTTTCGAGAGAAAATTCATAAAATGAAAAAAACTTCGTAAAAAAAAAACTTAAATAAACATTCGGTGAAAGTAAATTTTATCGCAGTGCCGACTATTTTACGTATAAAAAAAAAAATTCAACTTTTAATATCCAATTTTGTAACACACTTTTTTATGTCACGAGTTTTTCATACTTCGCGTTCCGCGAAAGAAATCGTATCTTCGTGAAGAAAGTGCGATGGGCGTATGGGCGCTCCGTTCGCCAAAGACGCGCGCGATCGTAGAACGTGGGATAACGACGGATTGAAATTGTGTGTCGTGCGCGTTTTACACATCGTGCGGATTTGCATAAATATTCTTCGACCTTTTACGACTCGGCGAATCGTAACATCGCGTCGCTTCTTACCCGAGTCACGACAATTTTTACCCGTCGCGCTTAGTTAGTCGTCCAATGCGTTTTTTTTTTTTTTTCCCCCCCCCACGTTTTTTCCTCTTCCTCCCGAAGGCGAACGCGAGATTGCGTCATCGCGTGCAGAACACTTTGTGTAGTTTAGAGGCGCTCTGAATTTTCCCTCGCGCGATATACCTACGTCCGGTTTGCGTAAAAAAAAAAAAAAAAAACAAAGATATTAATCGCCCGAGCTTATTAAGTGCGCGGCGTTCTCGCGCAGGACGTTATCGGATAAATTATTGCCGAGACATCAGGATTAATTAACGCAAGGACACATCGTCGCGCCCCGTGGATGGGAGACTTAAAATGTCGCCCCGTTCGGTCGGAAAATAGCAAAAATAAAGACACGCGATGCGCGTCGTCTCTTCCCGCGCGACGGAGTGTCAATATACTTTTAATAATTTCCGAAAGAGAACACTGCGTTTTAAAAATTACACATTACAGTCTGTCGTGTACACACGCGCGTGCAGTTCTCATAAATCAAATGTTGTTTTCACGCGAAGCGTGGTGGTGTGTCGGTTAAGTAAGAGGAGAGGAGAGGAAACCGGCTTCTCTAAATATTCCGTCTTCCGTCTTGTTTTGACCGTGCTCGTCGATGTTCATCGAGCAAAGTTAATCGCGGTAACACTCGTTTCTTTTCTTATTTTTTTTTTTTTTTTTTTTTTACGCGACACGGATTGAACGATCTCGATTTTACACGGTCGTATCGCGAAATGACGAAGTCGAGAACGCCGCACGCGGCATTCCGGGGATTTCATCGCGAGAGCGCACGCACGAGACAGCCTCTCGATCACGCGGTTGTTATTTTGTACTTTCGTGCGCGCATCTCCCGCGCTTACGAAACGCAAGGCGTGCACAGGCGTGCGCAAGGTACACTGGGATGGGGAATTTATAGGCGTTAATTAACGTTATTCATTAGTTATACTGATCGCGCGCGCGCGCCTCAGTAGCCGAATTCGATCCGCCGAAGACCGTCGATTAGATTGCGCGTTCCCCACGGTACGGACCACACAGGACGAACACACACTCGGTGTCTCGCGATACTGAAAAATCTCGCCCACACGCCAAGGGACGCGCGAAAGTGTCCCGTGAGAATATCCGTCGGAGAATACCTCCGGTAGCCGTCACGTGCGAATCCGCTCTGCTACACGTTCTCTCGCACACAAAGAAGTAGAGCTTCTTATCAGCATTTGTCTCTCTATTGTGTCTATTTGCGAAACGCAATTACTCCGGAGAGTTGAATATTATCTTTGGAAGAGTTCGCAATATTTTATTGTTTAATATTTACTTTAGAGAAAATTGTATGTACTACGTTTTCAATAAGGGAAAAAATTTGCACGCAGTTTGAATGTTAATGTTTTCAGGATTTTTTTTTATCTGTTCGCCGTAATAGTAATAATTTTGGGATATTCTTTTTGCGCTTGCGATCAGTGCGAGAATGTTTTTGGCTGACTATAGTCGGGAGAGTTTCTCGGCTAACTTTTCGCAAAAGGAATTCAGCCGATGAGGGTTCATCATTTGTACTCCTTCTCTCCTCCCTCATAACTTATCGAAAAGTGGGCCCGATGAAGCGGTCTGATTAGGCGGTTTGATTTATCACTTCTTTATACATATATTTGGCGCGCTCGTAGCACCGGGTGTCTCTCCCATCCTCTCTTTCTCTTCTCCAGGCCGTTCGTTCGCGGTCTCGTTAAAATTTATTCATGATTCGGCAGTGTGCGGTGAGTAGTGCTCTTGCTTCTCTCTCTTCTTCTCTCTTGGATACTGGTTCGACTGGTCGCGGTCCAAATATTCGACGGAGCCTCGGCCTATTTTCCGCGTAATGCGATAGGGGTTTTAATACCACTTGTGAACCGGGGGTCTGATTTATCGATCGGCGGTATCGACTTTGTTCAGCCCCGCGCTAATCTCCCGCGCGCGGTTCTTCGGCCGCGCCGTTGGCGCTCTTTCATTCGGCCGCGGGACATTTGCATGTTAAAGACGCGAGTAATCAAATCGGTCTTATCAATAACTTTTAGGGAAATTGCCATTCTGATTGATGACGCGTAATATATGAAAATTTATTTCACTCCGCGGCTCTTTCACGAAGCGAAATCACCGCCTTTCGCGCCGACGTAACGGACGTAATCGTCGCGCGCGATAAAACCAACGATGATTGGCAGCGCCATCATCATTTGCATGAGAGACAAATAACAATCTGTCTGTTTTATTAACTATAAATTTGTTATCTCGGAAATGTGAGCAGTATGTACGGTAAGTGGTTCTCAAAACTTGT